GGGGGGGGGGGGAGATTTTCAGTCAGGTTCATTTTTGGTAAATTCAGCAGTTGAATAACTTATTTATCCATGGAAGACTTTTTGTTAAAAATTTATTATGTCGCACCGCTGGGCTTGGCTCAGCGGTTGAGCATCGACCTAGGATCGAGGAGAACGCGGTTCGATTCCCAGTGAGGACACATGCCCAGGTTGCAGGCTTGACCCCCAGTTGGGGGTGTGCAGGAGGCAGCCGATCAATGACTCTGTCATCAATGATGTTTGTATCTCTCTCTCCCTCTCCCATCCCCTCTCTGAAATCAATAAATATATCTTTTTTAAGAAAATTTATCTAATAAAAATTAGGTTTCTGAAGGTAGCCATCAGAGAAATACTGTTTTAGAATAGGAAACTGGTCTATAATTTTCACTTTGAAATTTGAAATAAAACTCATCAAGCTCCATCTACATACACAAAATTATCTGTGTCCCTAGAAGGGAACCTTTTTCTGTTGTTTTTAATTAAGGGCCACTTAGAATTGCAGGAAAAATCAATTAGACATTATGTAACTAAACTATAGTCGTATTTTATTGTTTGATATTATTCTCTTCACCCTCCTGTAAAACTAAATTGACAAAATTACTTTATCATAAACTTAAAATGGCTGACACCGTAAGTTTTCTGATCTTATGGTTGATGCAGTCTTAATGTTGCTTGTATTTACTATTAGAAGATAAAACATGCGTTAGCTCTGGAAAGTCTGTCTTTTGAAATGTCTTCACACATGTATAGTATTTTTTTCCTTTTTATTGAATTTATTGGGGTGACACTGGTTAACAAAATTATACACGTTTCAGGTGCACACATGTATAGTAGTATTCTCAGGCAACAATACTTTCTAAAGAGAAATCAGACACTATTGTGAGTGAAGTTTTTATATTTTTCAAATACTGAGATTCAATACTTTTAGGTATTTTAAACACATCCAATGGAATTCTTTCTACAAAATTTTGATTTCTTAAATACTATGTGCTGAAATAACTCAACACAAATTATTAAAACTGTCATTGTAAATGTTAGTCACTGTACTCTTCCCATTAAGTTATATTATACTTAGGAATTTTGATATGTTTGGAACTATTTACTCTTACATTAAGTGTCTGACACATTTGATCTTTTATAGTTTATTGTTGTGGTCTCCTTTCTTTCTGTAGATCTCACATCTGTCAGTGTCCTGCTGCTTTTAAGCCTACTGTCTTATTTATGTAGAGGGATGGATATAGTGTAAGTTTGTGACAGTGGTTTACAATTCCCCAATTTTTTTTCTGTTTATTTCTGGGGATTGGAATTCTGACTCATACAACCTCACAGAACTGACAGTAGTTTGAGGGGGGAAAAGTTAAAGTAAGAGTGAATAGATGCGTACCTTACCCATAATATGTTATAAAGCATACAGAAAGTGACCAGTAAGTTTACAAAATTTTCACCAAAACAACTAAAGGAATTAATCATTGTAGATGGCCTCTATAATTTAAAACATCTGATTTGTAGCCCTTACCTTTTAGCAGTAATTATCCAGCAGGATTTGTTGTCTAGCTCCGCCATCCCTGTTTTGACATAATTAAATCATATCAACTGCATATAAAATAAAATGTGTTTTATTTCCCTATGTTGGGAGGACCTATATTTGAAGTGACTTTTAATTACTTTTAATTTAATTGCTAAGAAATTAAACATTTCACTGCAAAAATCTAGATATTTATAGTCTTTGTATACGAAAGAAGACCTATATCCCTGTTATTTTACAGGTGTACATTTTGTGTTGGTAATTTGTTTCCCTTTGTAATATGTAAGATATTTAATTTAGCCCAGCTGGCATGGCTCAGTGGTTGAGTGTCAAACTATGATCCAGGCAGCTGAAGTTCAGTTCCTGGTCAGGGCCCAGGCCCAGGTTGCGTGCTCAATCCCCAGCACAGGGTGTGCAGGAGGCAGCCAGTCAGTGACTCTCTCATCATTAATGTTTCTCTCTCTCTATCTCCCTTCTTCTCTCCCTTCTTCTCTCCCTTCTTCTCTCCCTTCTTCTCTCCCTTCTTCTCTCTGAAATCAATAAAAATATTTAAAATATATATATATATATATATATATATATACTTAATTTACACATCTCAGAAACGGATTTTCATATCATACAGTGTTAAAACAGTAATTCAACTGGAATATTCTCTACTTTTAATTAAATATAAAATTTTAAGTGAAATAAACCAGTCAGAGAAAGACAGGCATCACATAATTTCACTTATATGTGGAATCTAATGAACAAAATAAACTGTTGAACAAAATAGATGCAGAGACATTGAAACATGCAACAAACTGACGTGTTTCAGAGGGAAGGGGAGGGCAGGAAGAGATTAATCAAATAACTTACATGCATATATGCATAGCCTTTGGACAAATTATATTGTGGGGAAGGCTGGGGAGGGGCTGGGAGTGGGAGTGGAGTAGAGGGGGCCAATGGAGGGGTGAGGGGACATTTGTAATACTTTCACCAATAAAGATTAAACCTATTAAAGATAAATATATATAGTTTTAACTTTTAATTTTGTTAGAGTTGATCATTTCTCATTAGCCTTTTCTGTGCTTTTAATTATTTCCTAACATTTACCTTTAAAGATTAGTTCATATTCTAACTTAGAACTTAGATCAATAAAAGACAAAATGGAAAGCACAGAGGGGAGGAGGTATAGAGTATAACTGGGATAAAAATAAAGATATAAATCTGAGAGGGGTTCCCCTGAACTCTTGACTAACAAAAGTCTCAATTTTATTTTTTACACCATGTGACCCAGGAGAATTTAGGGGGCTTAAAATGATCAGTTTTCACTATATAGTATTGTTCTTTGAAGAAGTTTTAAAATCACTCATTCATAAAAGCTTACTTTCATTTTTCTCTTATTCTTTGCAGTTTTCTAATTTATTGAACACAAACATTAGTTTTACATTTGCATTTTCTTCTGTGAAACAACCAAAATTTTAAAAATCTAGTAAGTCAGAAAGCAATTTATAATAATGTATATAGCTAAGATTAAGATTAATTGGTAATGGAATAAATTTAACTGATTATCTTTTACCTTATTTTTTATTTTCCTAGCATTATGAAGGTAAATCCTCAAGAGAATGACATGTTCTTTGATGTTATTGCTATTGTTGATCCATTGACAAGAGAAGCACAGATGATGGCACAGTTATTGATCGTAAGATAGTTTTTGTTATATATTTTATATCTTTACCATATATAGTACTTTTTTGAAATTTATAATTAATCTTTGCAAATCTGTTTTCAACTATAATGAAATATTTGTGCTCTTGATTCTGTTCCATACAACATTTTAAATAGATTGTTATATTTAAATGTATAAAATGAAATGATAGAGCTGTACTTGGGGTTTTACGCAATACCAAGGTTAGGTGTTGCTATGGACTTTCTTGTTGCCTCCTCCCCGAAAAAAAGTTCATATTATCGAAGCCCAAACTCCCAATGTGACTGTATTTTGAAATAAGGCCTTAGGGGGCAGTTGAAGTTAAATGAGGTCTTACAGGTTGGGCCCTAATTTACTAGGATTGACATAAGAAGAGATCTCTTTCTCCCCTCTTTGGCACAAAGAAGAGGGTGCGTGAGCATAACAACATGCAGCAGCCTACAAGCCAGAAGAGAGCTCTCACCATAAACCAAATTGGCCGGCACCGTGATCTAAAATATCTGCTGGTTAAGCCATCCAGTGGGTGGTATTTTGTTATGGCAGCCCAATTTAACTTCCTGTCTTCAAGTGTGAAGACTGGCTTCTGGAGAAGCTGATGCCTAAGCTTAATTAGTTGAAGGTTAAAGTATCATACGTAACATTAACCAAACAGGTGAGGCTAAGAGAAGTGGGAATGCGAAGGTTGTATTCTTTAGGTTTGGTCACTGTAACAAAGACCAAAGTAACAGTAGCTCAAGACTGAATTTTATTTCTCTCATCTCACAGCCCAAGTGTAAGCCGCTTAGAGTTCTAAGGCAGCTTCTGTCTGGTTGTTCAGTCATCTTCATGAAGCAACTTCTATGTAGTAGCCTACAATCACGTTCCTAACATCATCTCTGTATTTCTGCCAGCACAAAGGGGAGAACGGCACCACCCCAAAGCTAGCCATATTCCTTCCAGTCACATCTCACTGACCAGAATGTAGGCAGTCATCCAGATACACCTGTCCAAAAAGGAGTGTAGAGACTCAGCATACACCTGAAAATTCTTTCACTTGAGGATGGTAGGGGATAATGAATATTAGGAGACCACTAGCAGACCCTGAAAGGACATTATATGGCTTATCATTTGAACAATTTTAAGGTTCAAATTGTGATTCATCTTCAGTAGGTAGATTTCAATAAGCTAGTTACATTGGCAGTCTATATATTTTTTCTTGGGATGTTCAGAATTGGGGGGGACTCCTATGTGAAATTATTCAATACTTTTTTTAAAAAGACACATTGAAAAAATTCTCAGGAGTGGAAACTGTTTGTCCTTGGACAGTTGGCTTCACTTTTGGAAACAGGCAAAAATAATTAGAAATTAAGTTTGGTGGAAGGAAGATATGAGTGATCAAGCTGGGTCATACTGATGTATAGTCTATCGAAATTTAAAAATGCAATTTCTCTCAGAAATTAGTTTGCCCTAACAAGCCTGCATTCTGTTGCATATATCTGTTTTTTTCTTCTTCCTTTACCTTCATCCTTTGTTTTGTAGTATCCTTCAATTTTCATTGACTTGTTGCCTATATAGAAGTGGGACTATCAAAATTAATAATTCTATTTCTTATGCTCCAGAGAAATGAAAAGAAAATAGAGTATTTCATCTGTATGTGGCCAAGAACTTCCTACATCTCTTACAATGTAGTTGAAATAACAAAGATTCAGGGCCTCCTCACCATTGTTTTGAGGTCACCACTTTGTATTTGCAGGTCAAGATATTAATAATGATTTCCTTGTTCTTCAGTACTAAGGAGATTTAGATACCATGAAAGAAATACATGTTAGGCAAAAGGTAGGCCACATAACCCTTGGACAATGAAATCAGTGGTTTAGATTCATATCTTACCTCTGCCATGACTTACTGTGTAGTCTTGGGCAAATTACTATATATCCCTGTTCTACTATAAAATTAGCTGCTTCAGAAGGATGTTTTCAGGATTAGATGAGATAATGAATATGAAGTGTTAATGCAGTGCCTGGTACATAGTAAATGCTCAATAAATGTATTATTATTAATTCTCAAATATGGGAATTTTTTCTAACAGGTACTTGGAAAGATTATCAACATGAAGTTAAAGTTGTTCATGAACTGTAGGAGTAAGCTTTCAGAAGCCCCTTTAAAGAGGTGAGTCTAAGTGAACCTAATTTCATTTCAAAAGATTTGCAAATACTAAAATGAAATGAGGACCATAATTACTGGACCTGTTTGTTTTTCTTCACAAGCTAGTTAATTGAAATAGATGATAATTTATTAACTTTAAATGATATAAAATTAAAATAACCTAACCACTAAAACTGAACCAATCTGTTTTCAGAATTTACAGTCTAATTGCAGATATATGTTTGTCCATGGGTATTTTTGAAAATGTGACTTAGGAATACCTATTTAGAAATAAACAGGAAATAAAAAATGGGAAATAGGTTGAATTACACCATTTTTGGTTTACCTATACTTTTAATACTTCAGAGTTAAATTATCAAAATGAGCTTTAGTATATCATCATATTTATTATTTGAGGATATTTAGACATAGTTTAGAGAAATCTTTTAATGATACAGAAAATGTTGTTTGTTGTTATATGCAAATATTTCTCATCCATACTGTTCTGTTGGATAAAAATTCTACACTCATGGAGCTAGCAGACCTCTCAGTGGCTAAAATAAGATAAAAGCGTTTGTTCATATTTGGAAAAACATGATGAGATTTGAAAATTGAATGAGCTTATTCACACAAGTATGAATCATCTCCATAGTGTATAAAACTTTATAAAAGTTTTGGATATATAATAAAGAGTAGGAGTATTTAAGTAAGCACAGTTCATTCAGAGGGAAAGAACTTGACTCCTCTAAGGTGAAATAACACCTGATGTACAAGATAGATGCTTTGAGTGGTGAATAATGCTGCACAGGACAAAAGCTGTTCAACTGTTTTTAGCTATGAGTTCAACAGAGTTGTATTTACTCAGTAGCACATATCAAGCAAACCAGTGACATTCCCAGCCCTTTACTTAAAGAATAAGTAGCATCATCCTTCTCAGAAATGATGGAGATGATGGGCTGGAATTCCCTCAACTTCCTTCTCTAAAGCCTGTGCCCCAGCCTTCCTCTCAGTTTTGATCCCATGCTTTCCCATTTGTTCTGGATCATTGCTTTATCACATAGTCCCTTTGTTTGGTATCTTTAACCTCTCTCCTAGTCTTTTTCAGTCCAAAGAGTTCTTCAGTTTTAAAAAACAAGCTGCTCCCTTAACTTCCTCTCCTCTAGACCCTGACTTTTCTTTCTCTTCTCCACTCTTTCTCAATCTCAGCTTCCTTAAAGAGTAGTCATACCCACTCTTCATTTCTCATTCACTATACCTCCCACTGCAGTTTGGCTTTAACTTCCTTATACTTAATCACAAAAAAATTGCTATTTGCATTATCCATGGGATACTTTTTACTTCATGACACTTCCACTGCATTTGACAGTATCAAGGACTTGTTTTGTACCTCTGCTTCATGACTGTTCTCTCCTATGTCTCCTCTTAGCCCTACACTTTTCTTCCCCTGCCTTCCTGCAGTAAGCAGCTGTGGACATGACTGTCAGTGATCACCACCTTCTGGCATTCCCATTCTGTAGAGTCTCCTTGAGTGTGGACCACACCAAATGATTTGCTTCTAATAAGCAGAATATGGCAAAAGTGATGGAATGTATCTTCTGCAATTAGGTCGTAAAAGACTGACTTTTGTCTTGCTGGCATTCTCTCTTGCACTTGCGTGCTGCTCTGATGAAGCATGCTGGGGATGACCTTGGAAGGCACTGAGGGTGGTCTTCAGCCAACCATTAGTGAGGAACTCATTCCAGTGGCCTTGAGGACCTGCATGAGCCTGGAGGTGGATCCTTCCCCCTTCAAGCCTTGAGATAACTACTGCATAGCTGACACCCTGACTCCAGTCTCAAAATAGTGGAAGTCACTAGTCTTAGTAATATAAGTAGTTCTTATTATATGTGATATTGGGGGATAAGGCTAAAATACATTAAAACTACAAGTCTACTAATAAGCAGCTGCTTTCAACTCAACCCTGTTTTTAATTGAACTATTATAATTGGTACTAGAATTTCAGCTTGAATTTTACTTGGTTTCTGGTTATTTCTTATCGTAATAAAATGGCTAAAAAATACACCATGGTCAAATTTGAACAAGGATAAGTGAGTGAATACAGATCATAAACTTCTAGAAGCTGCATAAGTCATTATCTTCAAGGAATTCTAATCCTTCTTATTAAGAAATAACACAAATGTGTATATACATAGTCTTTTAACAGTGTAAACAAACTAATAATTGTCTACCATTTACAAGCATCTCTTCTGCAATATAGTGTGTTCTTAGTCTTTTTAATTTAAGACTTTCTCATATTTTTAAACCATTTTCAGTTTTAAAATATTTTACGTAGAAGAAATCTCAACTTGGGTCTAAGTATGTTTTGTTTTGTTTTGTTTTTATGTTCTATCAACAGTTTTTACCGATTTGTTCTGGAACCGGAATTGACGTTAGTGTCTAATAATGTCATTGAACCAGTAGCAAAGTTCTTGGATATCCCCGAATCACCCCTTCTAACCCTCAACATGATTACTCCTGGAGGCTGGTTGGTTGAAACAGTACACAGCAACTGTGACCTTGATAATATTCACTTAAAGGATGTAAGTTACCATGTAAACTTATATAAAGAAAGGAAAAAGATAAATTCTTATCAGCTACTAACTGTAGCAAGGGAGTGATCATACTGTGGTTACTTACCAGAATTTTTCCTTTATGATTCTAGGTCCTGACCCAGTCTTTCCTTTGATTTTTGAGTCTCCCTAACATCCAAATTCAACTTCTCTCATTTTCTGGGTTTCTAGATGTCCTCACCTTTTTTGTTACTTCAGACCCCTGGTTCACAAATGCTGTTCTAAGGTGAACAATTTAGAAAATATGGAGATGGATGCATGGAAACTTAGAACAACACCACTGTGTACCTATTTTGCTCTTCAGGTTTTCTTTTTAACTCATAAAGGAACTGTTCCGTCTGAAACCCTTTTTGCCCCACAGCTCATAGCTAGAAAAAGCAGTCCTAACGAGATACGGGTAAAAAGCAGGGAAGAGCATTCCTTTGCATACCACAGACTGGGTGCATTGCTCCCGTCACCTCTAGTGTGATCCTTGTCCAGTAAATGACCAGACTTCTCTTTCCTTCCTGTTGTCATTTAGCCCCCAGTGCAAAAAGAGTAAGGAGACTATTTAAAAAAACACTAAGTCTTTCAAACATTCCATTCAAAATGGGAAAGGGATTCAGATACCACAAAAAGTGGAAACATTTTAGGGGAGTTGACACAGAGAACAAGTATCCAGAAACTGGAAAGAAAATACTTCCTTGTCATTATTCTCCTCTTGTCTGGTTCTTCACAGCCTCTGACCTATTTCCAGCAGCTCCTCAGAATGTGGCCATTACCTTGACCTAGGCATAAACCTTTTACCTCTCCTAATATGGTTACGATTGTTCATCAGGTTTATTTCTCATGGTTCTCATATGTTACCCTTTGCCTAAAGATTTTCCTCCTAGGCAGATTTCTTCTGTTCCACTCAGGAGTAGATTCTGTGGGATCCTAAGTCACTTCCCTGGAAAACATACTCACCAATACTCCCAACTTTACCCATCCAGAGAAGAACCTAAAACTCATTCATAGCAATCATCTGAAATTGATCCTTCAAATCTAGGGAAAAAATAGAAGACAGCCTGGCTGGCAAGGCTCAGTGGTTGAGCATCAACCTAGGATCCAGGAGAGTGCGGTTCGATTCCCAGTCTGGGAACATGCCCGGGTTGTGGGCTTGATCCCCAGAAGGGGCCGTGCAGGAGGAAGCCAATCAGCGACTCTCATCATTGATGTTTCTCTCTCTCTCCCTTCCTCTCTCTGAAATAAAAAAAGATATGTATATATTTTTTAAAAAAGAATAGAAAGAAAAGTAATAAAAATTGTGAGGGAAAATTGAGACATGAACTTGGAGAGAAATAAAAAAAATTCTGGGAGATTAAAGATGGCCGCAGACTGAGTGGAAGCTGCACTGACACTCTCCCAGGACCAAAATGGAATTACAACTAAAATATAGAAAAACCATCCTGAATAATCAACTGCAACTGAAGACGAGCTGAAAAGCACCCTTATAACCAAGGAGGAAAAGTGGAGACTGCATAGAGACCGGTAGGAAGTGCGGAGGCGCAAGAGGTCTGGCTGGGCTCCCACAGGCAGCAACTGAAGGTCCGGAGGGAGATCTCAGCTGTGGTGGGTTCCCACTGAGGACTCTGGGGCCTAAACCCCAGGCTGGACTTCCCAGCCAAAAGCACCAAACTGAGAAAGGTGCTCACATAACATCTTGCTGTGAAAGGCAGCGGGTTTCTGTCTGCCAGGGAGAGAGGGCTTGAAATGCAGGCACCCTCTTGAAGAGCTAACACACAAAGTTTCATGTGCAGCCACTCACTTGGGCTCCAGCTGAGGGAGGGCAGAGTGGACTGGAGCTGTGTGAGGAGAACCTAGGGCTCTGGAGATAGAGCTCAGAGGGCACCCTTCTGGATTCCTGTGCTGAGTCATTCCCCCATACTGCAGAGGACATCTTTCCCAGGCAGACATTTATCTTCTAAGCAGCTTTTGCCTGAGGGGGAGGCAATTGCCCCACTCTTTTGGAAAATCTCTCACCCTACCCTGTGGAGTTTCTATATCCTGAGGCTCGTTAAGAGAATCAGATTAATCAGCTTATAAGCAGAGGCAGACGTCAGAGTGCTTTGAGTCTTTGCCTGATCTGCTTCTGGACCCTGGCCTTGGAAAAGCAGACTTTGATGTGCATCTTGGTCCTATCCAAATACACCCAGCCCCAACAGAGGGGACCTCATACTGAGGCTTGTTGATAGCTCCAAGGAGGGTACTCAAGACCAGTCACAAACAGCATCTGACTTTGGCCTGGAGCAGAGACCTTCCAAAAAGACTTGAGAATCCTAGCAGGCCTGCCTAATACATAAAAACAAACCCAAGTAGGCAGCCAAAGCGGGGAGACAAAACTCCAAATGAAAGAACAATAGAAATCTCCAGAAAAAGAGCTAAATGAAACAGATAAGCAATCTATCAGATACATAGAGTTCAGAATACTGATTGTAAGGATGCTCAACAGCATGAAAAAAAGATACGGAAACTATGAAGGAAATGAAGAATGACATAGCAGAAATAAAGAATACATTGGAAGGAATAAACAGCAGATTAGAGGAAGCTGAGGATTCAATCAGTGAATTAGAAGACAGGGTAGAAAAAATCACTCAGATACCCAAAAAGAAAAAAAAAACAGGAGGACAGCCTAAGGGAGCTGTGGAACAACATGAAACATAACAATATTTGCATCATAGGAGTGCCAGAGGAGGTTGAAAGTAAGCAAGGGTTAGAGAACTTGTTTGAAGAAATAATGGCAGAAAACTTCTCTAACCTGATGAAGGAAAAAGTCCCACAAGTTCAGGAGACACAGAGAGTCCCAAGCAAGAAGAATCCAAAGAGGTCTGTGCCCAGACACATCATAATATGCCAAAAATCCAAGACAAAGAACCTTAAAGGCAGCAAGAGAAAAGCAATCTATTACCTACAAAGGAGCTCCCNTCTAACCTGATGAAGGAAAAAGTCCCACAAGTTCAGGAGACACAGAGAGTCCCAAGCAAGAAGAATCCAAAGAGGTCTGTGCCCAGACACATCATAATATGCCAAAAATCCAAGACAAAGAACCTTAAAGGCAGCAAGAGAAAAGCAATCTATTACCTACAAAGGAGCTCCCATAATGCTGTCAGCTGACTTCTTATCAGAAACTCTACATGCCAGAAGAAAATGACATGAAATATTGAAGGTAATACAAAACAAGGATCTGAAACCAAAACTATCCAGCAAGGCTATCATTCAAAATAGATGGTGAAATAAAGAGCTTCCCAGACAAAAAAAAAAGGCTAAAGGAGTTTATTACCACCAAACTAGCATTTCAAGAAATGTTAAAGGGACTGCTGTAATAATAAGAAGAAATAGAAAGAAACATAGGCATAAAGAATTAAAATGGCAGTAACTAAGGATCTATAAATAATAACCTTAAGGACTTTAAGGGAGCAATTAACAGCAATACAGTCATAGTAGTGGACTTGAACACCCCACTGACTTCACTGGATAGGTCTTCCAGACAAAAAGTCAGCAGAGAAACAGTGACTCTAAATGGCACACTAGATCAGATGGATTTAATTGATATTTACAGAATATTTCACCCCAAAGCTGCAGAATATACATTTCTCTCAAGTGCGCATGGGCCATTCTCAAAGATAGAGCACATATTAGGACACAAAACCAGTCTCTACAAGCCCAAGAAGATTGAAATCATATCAAGCATCTCAGATCATAAGGGCATGAAATTAGATATCAACTACAGTAAAAACATTTAAACACATGGAGCCTAATAGCATGTTGTTAAACAATGAATGTGTTACCAATAAGATCAAGAAAGAAATAAAAAACTTCCTGGAAACAAATGAAAATGAACATATAACAACCCCAAATCTATGGGACACAGTGAAAGCAGTTCTAAGATAGAAGTTCATAGCACTGCAGGCCTTTCTCAAAAAGCAAGAAAAATTTTTTAGTAAACTAACTCTACAACCTAAAGAATTAGAAAGCTCCCCTGTGAAGCTGTCCGGACCAGGGCTTTTGTTTGCTGGGAGTTTTTTTTATTACTGCTTCAGTTTCATCAGTTGTTATTAGCCTATTCAGGTTTTCTGATTCTTTCTTATTCAGTTTTATATGATCTCATATGTGGAATCTAATAAACAAAATAGACTGAGGAACAAAATAGATCCAGAGACACAGAAGCATGGAACAGACTGATGAATCTCATGGGAAGGCGAGGGTGGGAGAGTGGGTGGGGCGAGATTAATGAAAGAACTTATATGCTTATATGCATAACCCATGGACACAGACAATAGTGTGGTGAAGGCCTGGGGGGGGGGACGGGGTTCAGATGCAGGGTGGAAGGGATCAATGGAGGGGGAAAAGGGCATTATCTGTAATACTTTCAACAATAAAGATTAAAAAAAATTTTAAAGTTCGTCATTAAGTAGATAAATTGAGTTATTTTTCATCCTGATGCCTTCTTAAATCCAATAGTATAATGATACTAAAAATTTTTTCAGTATGTATTTTCTATATATTTTTATATTTTTATTTATTGTCGACAGTATTACAGATGCCCCCAATCCCTCCCTTTTGCCCCCTCCACCCAGCACCCCATCCCAGACCATCCCCACAGGTGATACTAGAATTTTTGATGGATGACAAGTATTTTTCAGGGGAAGAGAGGTTATTTTGAAGACTCAAATATTTTGAGAAGGGGGGTAGTTTAGGTAGAGGTGTCTCAGTGGGAAACTCTGGAGCTCTTATAAGAAGGTACTGTGAAGACATTGGGCACTTGGGAAGCAAGAAGAGTAGAAACAGGGAGGAGAAAGCAAGGGGGGAAAAAGGTAAGTAAAATCTCAGTGTAGTTCCCCCCCCCTTAGTTTACTTTTGGAAATAAAGACATACTTCAGTGTATATAATATAAAATATGTGCACATTATAATTTAATAAAGTAGATCACATTTTTTTAAAATCTGCTTTTTTCCATGAGTTTTATCTCTTAAAGGAGTCTATTGGATTCTTTATTAAGAGAGTTCAGTAATACACATCAGTAAGATAACTTTGAAGATTCTAACCAGAAAAAGAGTTTGTGGTAGGAGAATTAAGGCAGCTTAGAAAATATTTTAAATTGAGTCTGTTGGTAAAAAAGTTCAGCAGCTATTAAACGATTAATGGAAATTAAACACTTTTTGTTGTGAGTGGCAAATATAACAGGGTCTTTATAGAAGCTGTTTAAGTGAACAATAGCTCTATTTACTTTAGAAGACTAAAATAGAGAGGTAATTTCCTCTGTCTTCATAGGTTATATGAATAAACAGAAGGAAATTATAAATTCTAGCAGCTATAAAAGTTAACTGCCTCTGAGGCTCTTCTCTTCCAGTGTGCGCTGTACATGCTCAGATTACCTACAACCATCCTGGAAGAATGTTAAATAAAGACATTTGCTAGACAAGAAAGGAGGAGTTGTAGGTAAAGGACAAAAATGTACCATTGCAAAAATGAAACTGACAATGAGAGTTTTGTCACTACACACTAGCTCGCTCAGGTCAACAGTTAATATTTAGAACAGATAAAGAAAAATATAAAGGAGATGTAAACATCAAAAAAGATTACTAGCTTTCAAATTCTTGACAATAGGAACTAATTTAACTTAAAACTAAGTTAACTTAAATCACCTTTATGAAATTACTAGAAAACTTAAGATATTCACTAAGAAACCTATTTGAAAAACAAATAGGCTATTTTTGGTGTTATGGTTTGAATAAGTCAAAAGAATTGATGTCTGTTATACTCGTATATAGGAACAAGAGAAATTGTCACACATATTATAAAATGAAGATACTATTAGTCACCGATTGATTGAATATATTTGGACTTTGCCCTAATGTCTAATTCATAATGAAAAATAGTTAAGCTTTTTACTTCATAATCACTTAGGGGTATTGTTTCCTTGGCAGTGAAGTGAAAGAATTGAGCTAGATCTCTACAATATTCTCTTATTCTGGGACTGTCCCATGAAAAGCTTCCCATCCAGACTAAATGCTATAAGAACTGTGGACACAGGTTAATGAGGTATATGAAGTTCATCACTTAGAATAGTAATGATTCAACCACTAATTCACGTCTGGATATGATTTTCATTTGAAGTAGAGAAAAAGCTTTTAGTCCTGCAATATTTATTGTAGCATTTGCAATAGAAGAAAATCTGGAAACAGTTGGAATGACCAGCACCTAGAGGATGTTTATAGAGAAAGTGACATGTTCCTAGAAAACTATATTTAATGAAAAAACAGGTTATACTTCCTTAAGAAAAAGTTTATGGAGGAGAAAAAAAAAGAAATCAATGCATTGATGTGTTTATGAAAGTTTTGTCTGTAGGCCATTTCTGTTTTTTTCTCTTTTCCACTTCTATTTGCTAAATTTTATTTAATGAGAATATGTTATTTTGAATACAAAACAATTAAATATTCAATATTTTTAAGTTACAAGAAAGGCAATAAATGGTGATAAATCGGCTTTCTTGCCAGGCCTCAAGAGGGAGCTCTAAGGCAGCAGCAATGAAGCAGATTCTTTGAGGAATTTTCCATCTAAATTTGTCTTGAAGAGATCTTTAAATACTACAACTCTATGACATGTTTTCTGCTTGTGATATTGGTGCATATATCATGAGGCTGGAGTAGCTGATGTCATGGGAATTGAAAAAAATCTATCATGAGCTGATATTCAAGAAATTGGTTCAGCTGTTAAGTTCACTCATGTAAAAGAAAGACTTGAAGTTGCCCACACAAGTTCATTGGCTAATGTTAAAATAACCTCATTTAGTTATTATAATATTTGTATTATGGGAATTACTAATGACATATTTCCTCCACAGATTGAGAGAACCGTTATAGCAGAATATGAACTAGAATATCTTCTGCTTGAAGGACACTGCTTTGATACGACGACGGAGCAATCTCCTCGAGGTCTGCAGTTCACACTTGGCACAAAAAATCAACCTGTTGCAGTTGATACAATAGTGATGGCCAATCTTGTAAGTATTATAATGACTTAATTGATGGTATTACAGGGAAGTGTTTTGGTAAAATCATTAAAATTAGATGTTTTAGTAAAATCCTCTAAGTATTTCTAATAAGATAAAATAATTTTTATCTCACTAAAAACAAAATTGAAACCTTGAATGAGATATTAAATAAAACAAAAATGAAGGGACTTGTATTTTCAGAATGTCCTTTTACAGGTCATTGCAAAGTCTACTTCCTTGGAATTCATTTGTAGAATTCATTCATCCCACAGTTAGTACACACTTTCTTGGATGATTCATGTATAATCTTTCTTAGACAATTGGATGTGTGTTTACTCATATAACTATTATCATATTTTTCTCACTTAAAAGGGATATTTTCAATTAAAAGCAAACCCAGGTGCTTGGATACTAAAATTACGCCAAGGAAAATCTGAAGATATTTATCAAATAATTGGGTGAGTTATACAAATCACTTTTAAATTTTTATGTGTAAATAAGTTTTTAGTGTGATATAACCAAGATCATCAAAAGAACTAAAATATTCACAACTACTATCACTATAAAACAAACAAAACACTGACATTTGTTCCAAAATTTTTGTTTCTTTTTATTTTAAAAATATAAAAAGTATGCCTAATATGTGCTTTATCTTATATAACAAAGCTGTTATCCATGGATTATGTTCAGTTTTTCATTTTTATAAATAAGAATTGGTTACTTTCATAGTAACTTACCTGCTCATCAATGAGCATAGTATAAAGCAGGGATTATCAAACTTTCTCTAGAGAAGCCAATAGAAAATACATAATGTTTTAGGGGACATGTGATCTTTGTCTGTATTCTTTTTTCTTAACCATTTTAAAATGTAAAAACCATTTTTAGTTCAGAGGCCATACAAAAATAGGTCATCAACCTGATTTCACTTGCCATCCAGTTTGCTGACCCCTTATAAAACCTTTTTACATCCCTTAATAAATGTCTGCTCTTTTCATTTATTTAAATAAATACAGGGTTGGGCAAAAGAAGATTTACAATTGTGAGTACTGGAAATACAGAGTTAATAAAGCTATTGTAATGATCATGGCCTGTGTGTCTTTTCCATATGAGCAACTATAAATCTACTTTTGCTCTACCCTGTATTTATTGAGTACTATTATTATAGCAAGAACTGTGCTCACGAAAGATAATATGGGGATAAAGATTATTGAACCTTTTTTCACTGCTTTTCCTCTTTTCCTTATACTGTGCCTAGCACATAGTGTCATTCAACAAATATGCTTAATAATTTATGCACACAAAGCCTAGAATGGTTAATTCTGTAATAGGGAGGAGGGTTGGAGTAAGTCAGTGTTGACATTAGGAATGAGATAGTACCTCAAGATTATTTTGAAGAATTATAGTAAGTTACTACTAGTCATACTATAGACAAAAACATTCCAGGAACAGGAAGGAGGTGCAAATCTCATTTAAAATTCTTAGGGCCACATGTGTTTTAAAATTAGAATTTTTCAGATTTTAGAAAGTTAATATAGTACACATCATATATTATGACACATTGGGCAGGATCTAAGATAGCACTTCATTAAACATTTCTGTTGTAAAATGTGTGAATATTTACATTAAAAGGATATTTAATGACTATAAAAGAAAATAAAAACAATCCACAGACTGGGAGAAAATCTTTGCAAAGCATACATCCAACAATTTATATGTAGAATATATAAAGACTTATCAAAACTCAACAGTAAGAAAACACCTGATAAATATACAGAAGACTTGAATGGACACTTCACCAAAGGAGACCTGGATGGCAAATAAGCACATAAAATTTGCTCAACATCATTAGTTATTAGGAAAATGCACATTAAACCCACAGTGAGATACTGCCACTCACCTGTTAGAATGGCTAACATTTCAAAGACTGACGCTACCAAGTGTTGGTGAAGATAGGAAGCAACAGAAACTGTCACACACTATGGGTGGGAATGTAGAAATAGTACAACCACTTTAGAACAATTTGGCAGGACCTTAAGAGTTTAAATACACACTTAAACCATATGATCCAGGCATTTCACTCGTAGGAATAAAAGAAAATATTTTACTCAAAAATAAAAGAAAATATATGTTTATGCAAAGATTTGTACGTTAACGTTCATACCAGCTTTATTTGTGATTGCCAGACACTGGAAACAATCCAAATGTTAACAAGTGAAGAAACAGTGAAAATGTAGTACAGTCATACAATGGATAAGAAATGAGAGGCAGTATGATTTACTTTACCTCTACAAAATTTAAATAATGTTTATATTTAGAATTCCACGAAAAGTGAATTTAAAAAAATAAATAATGCTTCCTGACATGTAATGAATCCTTTTCATTTTAAAGTAAATGGCTTTTATTGAGATAAAATGTTCTCAAATCCTATTGAGAATATAAATTATTTGAATGCTCCCTCTTTTCCTTCTTTAATTCCTTATCAATAAAGTCCATGTTCTCTGTCTGCTTAGTTTTTTCCCTTCATTTAAGCTGCTTACTCTGTTCCCATACCCAGTGATTTTTAGTTGCCTAGAGTTCCTTACAAAGGTCTAACAGTGCAGTAGTGAAGAGCCAAACTTCCTGGGCTGTTTAGATCTAGGATAATTGTGCCTTCCTCAGATGATGGTTGTAAACTATAAAGTGCTTGAAATAGTGCTTGAAATGGAGTAAGAATCTTCATCACTACTATCTGTGCCACTTGGTGGCAAGGAGGTTGGTTGCTTTAAATCTTATTCAGGGTTAGTTGCAGTATTGTACTTCCTAGCTCTACCCTGTTCTCAGGGGATGGTGGACTCAGTGGCTGAAGTTGCTGATCCCTTGAGTAAAGTTTGGTACTAGAAGCTCTTGAAAGTTTTTCAGAAATTTGATATTTCCACTACGTAAGTCGGTCATTGCTGAGCAGAGCTGTGCCTTCTACATTGGTTAGCCACCTCAGCGGTGAATTGGGAGTAAGACTGAGTCAAAGGCATGTGTTAGTCAACATAGTGCTAGAATCCACAGGGTTTCATTTTAGAAAAAATGTTGAAGTGTATAAATCTGACTGAACTTAATTATCTACTAATTTGACATCTGATTGCATTTCCTCTTTGACAAAATTCAATTTTTTTGGTAAATGTTTCATACAGTAGCGTTTTTCAGTACATAGTGAGTATAGTATTCAAAACATAATTATTGAGGAAAGCTGTCATATTTGCTTTTTTCAGTTTTAAAAATTAGACAATAATACATCATGTGTAATATAAAATAGAAACATTCAAGTGATATAGATGGACATCATAGACATTTCAGTCTTATGAGTTTAACAGTACACTTCAAATTTTAGTATTTGAAAATGGCTGGTAGATATTGAAAAGTTATTGGGCAACTTTTGATTATAAAATATATAAACAATTTAAAGTCTAGAAAATATTTTTTAATTATCATTGAAAATATCACAGAGATATGAAAGATTTGACTTTGTGATAATCTTGGTGTACAACAAAAGATAAGGAATAATTTGAGCTTTCTGAGTGATTAGGCAAGATCAAATTTAGAGAGTTACTTTTGTATAATGTTAATTTATACCAAGTTAAAATTGATTGGACAGCTTTGAAAATTGTAATGCATATAGCACATCTTAATTGACTATAGAAATATAAAATATGGCCTGGCCTGCACATGGCTCAGTGGTTGAGCATTGACCTATGATCTGGGAGATCACACTTCAATTCCTGGTCAGGGCACATGCCTGGGTTTTGGGCTCAATCCCCAGTGGAGGGTGTGCAGATGGCAGCCAATCAATGACTCTCATCATTGATGTTTCTATCTCTCTCTCTCTGTCCCTCTCCCTTCCTCTCTCTGAAATCAGTAAAGATATATTTAAAAATATATATATATATAATATGATATACACACAAGTGATAGGATACTTATATTTATTGCAAAATGCATTTATTTTATGTTTTATGTCTTTTTGTGAACTGATTATAGATATTTACATGTTTTTCTCCTTTTAGGCATGAAGGAACTGACTCTCAAGTGGACCTAGGAGATGTCATTGTCGTGTTAAACAGCTTCAAAAGCAAAATACTGGCAATACAAGTATGTGAGGCAGAAGCTATTTATAGTCTTTGTTCTTAATATTAAAATTTATCTCTTGTTTTTAATTAATTGATTTTTATTTTACAACTCATTTCACAATTTTACTACCTAAAATGTCATATAGAACTCTGGCAATGGAAGGAAGAAGAGGATTAAATTCATGAGGGAAAGCAGAGAACTTAAAGATAGAAGGAAAATGATTTTTTTTTAAGTTATGATATGATATGTTTACTGTACCTACTGTATCTGCAAACCAGGTATTGTTACAAATTAGGCTCTAGAAATAATATCAGGAGCACAGGTTGAAAAACTAGCCCTGAAAAAAAGTGTTTCTTTCAAAGAGAGAGAGAGAAAATGAGTTTTTAATGATAACAGGTTTGGTTTTTTGAACCAACCCACCTAATTATTACTAGTAAAAATGTTGGGTAAAATACTTTTTATAAAAATCTTAAAAGCAATGAGGAGCTGACAATAATGAAATAATAAGGAAAATAAGGAAATACAAAACCAAAATTAAAGGGAAAATAGCCTTAGTGAAGTAAGCAAGCATAGAAGCTTCTCTTGTCCTGAGAAAGCTACTATTACCTTGAGAACATTTGTCCTTCCTGGTACACTTGCACTGTTATTTTGGTTTAATTTGAGGATGAGAGAGACAGAAATTAAAACTCTGGACCCACATAAAGCGGGTTATCTATTAGAAGACTCTCTCTACAATAAGCTGGCTATAGCTTCAGGGTAAGGATGAACCATAGTAAATTATCCCACACAGTCTTTTAGCCCAAATTAGTATCATCTAGGTAGTCTAGGGAACCCTGAGCCTTGAATTTGCACTAAAATAGGTCAAGATTGATAAGACTGTACAGGTATCTAGCAGAAACATCCATATAATTCTGGAATAAGATTACTATATCCAAATATACAAGAAAAAATGACAGAAACAACAGATAACAGATACAGAAGCACTCCATATATTAGAATTATTGACATAGATTCTGAAACAACTATGCTTATAATGTTTAAATTAGTAAAAGACAAGCTCGAAAACAATTGCATGGAACAGGAAACTATAAAAAGACCATGTCTGATGTTTTTTTAGTAGAACTTGTAAAACAACAATGCGATAACCAAAATTAAGAATTCAGTAGGTGACTTTAACATACCTGAAGAGAGAATTAAGTATCCCAGATACAACAGGGATATTAAAAAAAGAAGAAAATACAACCCAGTGCATAAGAGGCAGAGAAGTGAGTGAGAAATCTGATATATACAGGATTGCATTTACACTTGGCTATTCACTACCTGTGTGACCTTGGACAGACTGCTCAACTGTTTTCTGTCTCAATTTTCTCATTGATAACATAGAGTTAATAATAGAACTTACCTTATGTGTCTATTACAAGGATAAGATAGTTTAGCTTTGTAAAGCACTTTATGAGTGCTGAATAAATAAAATCAATTTAAATGAAGTTCCAGAAGAGTATGAAAGAAAGAATGAGGTACAGGTAATATTTGAAGCAATTATAATGGCTGAGAATTTTTATGAATTGAGGAAACCAATTTGCATATTCAAGAAGTCTCATGATTCCCAAGGAAGATATTGAAACGGAAATCCACACCTAGACTCCTGTTGATAAAACTGCAAAAAAACAAAGACAAAAATCTTGAGAGTAATCAGAAGAAAAAATAAAAATTACCTTAGATAACTGTAGTCTGACAATTGATTTCTTGGCAGTAACAATGAAAGCCAGAAGATACTAGAATGATATTTAAAAGCAATGAATGGAAAAAGGAATGCCAACCTAAAATAATTTGCCCTGAAAGGATATCTTTCAAGAAGAAATATAAGGTATTTTCAGGAAAATTAAAAACTGAGTTTGCCATCAGCACAAACTAAAATAAATTCTTAAAAGATGTACTTTAGACAGGAAAAAAATATGTCAGATGGAAGGTCTGAGTTTGAAAAAACAATGAAGAAAAGAAAATGATAAATATGTTGATGTGTCTATGAGCAGTAAATATCCAAAACAATAGTAAATGTCTTATGAGGTATTTAAAAACATATAGAACTAAAAGTCATAATAACATTTAAACCTTAAGAAATAAGATTATTTGCAATAACATATAAAGTTCTTAGATAGATAGATAGATGATAGATAGATAGATAGATAGATAGATAGATAGATAGATAGATAGATAGATGATAGATAGACAGACAGATAGATATTGACCAGGATAAGGGTAATGATTACTTAGCGATTTTAGGACAAATACTTTTTTTTTAATTTTTAAGATAACCACTAAAAGAAAAGAAGTAAGGTATGATGGCATAGTAAAGAGGAAAAATAGAGTGAAACAAATTAATCAATATAAATGGACTAATAAAGGAGAAATAAAGCAAACATATGGGATATAGAGAAAGCATAAAATAATCTGAATTTAATACAATTATATTAAATGTAAAGGGGCTAAATTTTCCAATTAAAAGACGAAGATTGTCATACTGGGTTTTTAAAAATCCCAACTATATGTTGTTTGTAGAAAGCACATCTAATACATAAGAATACAGCTTCAGGGTGATGATGAAAATGAAATACAAGTGTGGCAAAAGGATAAACAAAGCTTGTATAGCTATACTAGTATGAGAGATATTAGACATTAAGACAAATAACATTACTAAACGTTAAAAAGGTCATTTTATATATATATATAAAGCAGAAGTAGAATTACAAGAGAAATTGACAATTCTCTGTCATATTTGGGATATTTTAAAACACATCACTTAGTACTTGATACAACAAGCAGACCAAAAAATGAAGAGCTACAGAAGATTTGAACAGTGTGATTATAAATTTTTACCTTATAGACATATATAGAACACAACACCTAGTAACACCAAATGAACAGTCTTTCAAACACAGAAAACATTCTTAAAAATTAGCTTAACAAAAATTAGCTTTACATTTAGTTGAAAACAAGTTTTAACAAATTTCATAAGAATGAAATCATACAGAATATGTCTTCCGTCTGTAGTGCAGTAGAGTAGAAATCAGTATCCAGTGATAACTAAGAAATATCCATATGGTTGGAATCTGTAAGATCCAATAACAGTAGGCTACCAAAGCTCTCACCTTAGATAGTACCTAGATTTTAAACTATCACCAAATTTTACTTTGCACCCCTATATAATAATCTATTTCTAATCACTTCTGTTTATCTTACGACCAGTTATACATGTTGCTCACACTCATCTTTGATACTCTTTCTTTTCTGATCTTGACTTCCTTTCTCAGTAATAGCTTATAGTGTCCCTTTGAATACATTTCCTTCTGGCCATTCCAGATGAAAACCCCACAAACCCAGACCAGCTGCTTAAGATAATAACTTAGCTCAAGTGCTTTAGGACTAGAATTTCAGCTAGTTTTATCCTAGCCCTGCAAACCGGGAAATTCCATTTGGTGTTGGTGTAGAAAATACAATTCCATCCTTGACCATTGAAAAATTGTTTTTCTTTTTCTTGAGTTGAATTTTTGCACTCTGTGTATTGGTTGTAATTTGACCTGTTGGCCCATAGTAGAGAGAAGGTCTAAGTCTTTCACCATAACCATCAAATCTTCGAGGGTCACCCATTCTACAGTCTAGCCACCTAGGTTTTTCATTTGTTTTTTAGTAGCACAGTTTTATCCCTTTATCATCCATATCTCAGTATTACACAAAAAGACAGAAAAAAGGGAAAGAAAAAAGGTAAGCAGCATCGAGGATTAGCCCATGAACTTCAGTAGCCCACTAATAAGAATTCCAGAAAGAAGAAAAAGAAAAAATGGAGGAGGGAAGTATCCCACAGATAAAGAGATAAAAATGTCTGTCAAAATGGTCCACAAACTAGGATGAATGAAAAATGGCCCAAATAAGATCACAGTAACTACCAAGGAGAAAAGTCAGGTTACTGCAATTGAATAACACTAGTACTAGCATCAGACATTGCATTTTCAAAATGGAGGTTATAAGACAGCAAAACAAAGCCTTTAATGTTGTGAGGAAAATTATTTTGAACCTAGAATAATTCTTTAGCTAAATTCTTAGTCAAATATGAAGACAAAGTAAATTTCTTTCTTTAAGTGTGAAGATTTAGGAACATTATTTTTCACATTCCTTCTTGAAGTTATTTGTAAGCACAGTGAAGATGAAGAACAAGAAAGAGGAAGAGCCCTGCCAGTGTTGCTCAGTGGTTGAGCATCTACCCATGAACCAAGAGGCCACAGTTCCATTCCTGCCCAGGGCACATGCCCAGGTTGCATGCTCGATCCCTAGTAGGGGGCATATAGGAGGCAGCCAATCAGTGATGTTTCTCTCACATCGATGTTTCTATCTCTCTCTCCCTCTGCCTTCCCCTCTCTAAAAATCAATAAAAACATTTTTCAAAAGAGGAAGATAAATATTTCAGGAAATAGTCGCATTAATCTGAAATTTAAAGCGAAGAAGGCCTAGAAATAAACAGGCAGTTAATTATTGAGCTCCAGGAAAAATGTCTTCAAGAAGACAGGAATTCTAGACAACTAACACGAATAATAAGCTGGAAAATATTGGGTATGTAGTAAAGAACAAATATATCTCACCACTAGAAAAAATCAATAAAATTCCCCCAAAAATATTTCTCTATTGGTGGAATGTAAAAAAGCACAACCCATTTGAACTAGGAAGTCTACAAGTGGCACAGTGGTCATGTTATTGTAACTATAGAGGAAATATAATTGTAGTAGCCTTTCAGACTTTTCAGTGAATAATATTTACACTGTTACAATAAGCACTATTGACCGATTTTCAAAATGAACAAATAGCAAAGTGCAAAAGATATATTTACCAGACTAAATGAAAATATTATCTGTGTATTTACAATGATAAAATTATCATTGTTTAGCTAGTATAAGTTAGGAGGTGGAGGGAAAGGGTAGAGATTATAAATGGTATGAAAGAGGAACTGTTGAAGTTGTTGGAATAGAAAATAGAGATTTAAATATTATTTAAAGTTAAAGAAATACTTGGTAGAAAAACTAATGATAAAGGTATTACTACCAAGACTTTCAGACAAAAAGGGGAAGGGTGATATAAATGAGCTGATCATCTGTCGTCATGAAGAATGAAGAAAGTCTAAACCATGTGAATACAGATATACTAGTAGATATGTTTAAAGTTGATAAATCGGTAAGTACAAATATACATAAACTATTTAGCAGTATGGAGCTAATAGAAGAACTAAAAACAAGGTGTTGAACTGATCACTGAAACCAGATTGTGTCTATAATGTACTGAGATACTCTCTGGCTTCATTTACTGCAACTGTCTTAGATTTAGGGTCACTCTGCCCAATAAGTTATGCTAACTTTGCAACATAATATTTAAAGCTGCAAAATTCTAAAATTTCTCTTCACTATTCTGTCTAGGTGCAAAAAAAGCCAGACAAAATTAAGGAAGATATCCTTACTGATAAAAAAGAAAAAAAAGGAATGTGGGATTCCATTAAAAGGTAATTACAAATGAATATTTTAACACATAACTATAGATGCATCAGGAATCTAGTATGTGGAAACCCTGCAGATGGTAAACATTTAAAGTAAAGCATAGCTCCTCTCCTCTAAGAGGGAAAAGATAGATACATAAATTTTAATAATATAAGATAGGAAACTGGAGCTGTAAGACAGCTGGAAATAAAGTGCTGTACAAACCAAGGAAGAAAAGGGCTATATCCAGTTAGGAGGAAACTCAGAAAAGACACCTTGGAGAAGTGTGTGGCTAAGATCTGTTCTGAAGGATTAACAGGTTTTCAAAAGTTGGAGGTGGAGTGAAGGTACCTGGTTGCATGAAGATTGGGAATGCTAATCAAGGAACAGAAAGTAGCCTGGGTTAGTTGGTGCAGTGAATATAATAGGGAATCTATAAATTAGGTTGGGACCTATATTATTAGTTAATCAAAAAAGTAATATGTTGACTTACATATCTATAGAGTCCAGGAGTGGAGCTGGCTTTAGGCAGTCAGGTGATGTGGTCTGGAAGCTCTTCATCTCTTCGTTCTGTTATCAGTGCCTATTTCATTTTCAGATAAACTTTTACTCCCTGGCCAGTGTGGTTCAGTGGTTAGAGTGTTGACCCATGGACTGAAGGGTTACAGGTTCAATTCCGGTCAAGGGCATGTATCTGGGTTGCGAGTTCACTCCCCATCCCGGTCAGGGCGCATGTCTCTCTCTCCCTTCTCATTTCTTCATCCTTCCCACTCTCTCTGAAAAAGCAATGGAAAAAATATCCTCAGGTGAGGATTAACACAAACAAAAAAATTTTTTTTTACAAGGAAAAGATTGCCATCTCCAGTGGAAACAGAGGGCCTCTTCCAAATAGTACCAGTAAAATTTCCAAGGTTGACTCATTCATCCAACTATAGCCATGTGTCCCAAACTGAACTGATCACTATGACTTACCACACTTGGGTCATATGTCTCTTTAGAGCTGGTGAGAAGGCCTGTCCCACCTAAACCTCATAGAATGAAATTGGAGGAGGAGTGCCTTCCCCTCAAAATACCAAGTTATTGTTATTGAAGGATAAAGGGTGTTAGGCAGACAAAAACAAAATCTGCTGTAGATCCACATTGTGGAGAACTTTGAAAGTCCATTTTAGAGATTTGTACTTAATCTGATTATTTCGTTCAAGACTTAGAAATAGAAACTTTAGGCCAAATAGATTCAGCAACCTAAGCAAACTTTGTTATACTGATCAAAGCACTCGCATTATTTTGGATTTTGCCCAGTTGAGGCCTCTTTTTCTATAGATTCCTTGTTTAATGAGAAGAATCATGTTATTGTGCCAGTATTGCATTGAAGTAGTTACTGATAGAGAAAGGCTCAAACGCACTCATTTTGAGATGATTTGAAGAGTAGGTATGTTTGACAGGGGATAATGAAACAGAATCTGAGCATTTAAAGAGTATCTGTCCATGAGCTCCTATTAAAGCCAGAGGTAGAGCTAAAAATGAATAAAGGTAACCATTCAACTATAGCATAGCAACTTGCTATACAGAAAGGATACCAAAAACAAAGTAGTGCTTTGTTATAGAGATGGCAACTCCTCCAAATATATAAGTATTTTGTGTATTATAATGCTTTCATTTTTTTTAATCTTAGTTTTATCCTAAATAGAGTGATTTTTTCCCCCACTGAATCTTGTATTTTTCTTATTTGGGAGATTAATATAAGGAAAGATTTGAAAAATGCTTCCATTGTAACAATTCCAATTTGGCAAAATATATTCCATGATGATTATAAGTTGTTTAGTTTTCCAAATTTTAGTTAAGTATCTGTGCATGTAAAAATGATATTTTTAATTAAATAAAATTTTTAAATAAGAAAAAGAAGTTATACATTATGAATACCTTAAATAAAAGATTCAATAACTTTCATATATGAGATGGAGCATATAAAAGGCTGGCCTGGGTCCAGAAAGTGGTGAAAATGATAGCTGGGCCCAGAAGAATCCAGTGAGTGGATGTCACTCCCTAGCACTCTTGCTCCTCATGGAGGCACATGCAGAGTCCAGAGCTCTTCCTAGCCCATATGGAGTGGCCACTATAACTGGCCAGAGGAGCTCCCAATTGTAGGCACCTTTTATTCATAACGTTTTATCCTGGAGGAGCTGTGTCACTAGCACTCAAGAACCTACCTGTTACCACATCAGAAAACTCTTGCTGTGCTCTTCTTAGTTACACTCTTGTGCATCTGTTTCTTCCCTCACTCTTGGCCTATTTAAATGTCAATTCATTATATATGGCCATGGCATGCTGTAACTTACTCTTTGTTCTCAAAACAACATTTGTAACAAAAAAGATTCAAAGATATTACCTCATTAACCTAGAGACAATTGCATTCTGTTTTAATTTTTTTTTAATCATAAAAGCTTTGTTACAGTGTCACATGTTTTAATATTAACAATTCATAATATTTAGAACTGGTTTCAGTGTAATAACTTCACTTTGAAAGGCAGTCCTATTTTTATTGCTTATAAAATCTAGTATTTGGGTATATAAAGTTTGCAGATATAAATTTAGAAATAGCAATCACTACTTTTTTATTCCAAGTTTCACAAGAAGTTTGCATAAAGAAAAAGACAAAAAGGAAACAGACGTTCTGAACATTTTCTCAGTTGCTTCTGGCCATTTATATGAACGCTTTTTAAGGTAGGTATATTTTTTATCTACTGTTTGTAAACATAATATATTTACTTGGTTCAAAAAGAATTTTTAAAGTTCAAAAGAATAAAAATATGTACAGTGAAAAATATCTTCCTCTTTTCTTGATACCTAGTTCCCTTTCCCACAGGAAACCAATATTATTTTCATATCCTGCCAAAGATATGTGTAGACAAGCAAATATATGTATTTTTTCCTTTTTTAGCCTCTTTTTACCAAAATAGTAACAGTGTATATATATTGTTCTGCACCTTGCTTTTTTTTCTAACCTAAAATTGTGAGGAAAGTATTTTTTTTATATATCATGAAATTTCATGAGTTTGACTGATTTGGAATACTGATGTTATTTAAGACTATAAAATGGACATATTTTATAACAGCATATGCAATAAAAAATATACCTTGTAAATTTCCCTTTTCCAATAAAGAAATGCCTTGTTTTATATAAAAAGCAAGAAGGAGCAGTGAGAGGAGGAAAGCATATTTACAAACTACAAAGGACTGTTGTTTTTAACTGTTTATATAGAAGCATCACAGAGAATGCCTCAAAAATGTTCGAACATATGTTTATATTTTAAGATGGAACTTTAGATATATCTATATCTTCTCCAGTCAGAGGTCTAGAGTACAAAACAAGTTCCCTGTCCAGTGAGTTTATCAATATAGACAGATCATTCAGCACTTCACGTGTTTCACATCTCTTGAAGTACAGTTTCTACTGGATGTGTATCGCTTTCACACCATTGTAAAGTCAGAAATTCGTAAGTCAAACCATCATAGGTCAGGAACCCTCTGTAAATTTATAGTCTTATACATTACATACTTGATGAGCAAGCATAATATTTAAAGGTCCTTCAGTCTATTTTCTTCATAATACATAGTGCAAAACTTCTAATAATACCTTTAAATACTTAAAAGCCCTAGGAAAAGTAGGATAAATTCCTATTAATGTTAACTTAGTGGGTTTAATGTTCTTTTATACAGAATCATGATGCTTTCTGTTTTACGTAACACCAAAACACCAGTAAAATTCTGGTTCCTAAAAAATTATCTCTCACCAACATTTAAAGTAAGTACATCAATCTTTTTATTATAGAATGGTTAATGTTTGAATAGTAAATTCTTTATATCATTGTTAAGTTCATATAACTTTTTACTTTTCAGAATGAGTCTTAAGATGTATATTCAAATTACTATTTTTAATCATTTTTGAAACTTTGGTATTCAGTGTATTTTTATCTAGCTTAAGAAAATTCTTATGCAATTTTTATTTAAGGAAGTGTTTGAAAGGACAGCAGGAGATGGCTTATTTTTAAGTAAACTCAAAATTAGAAAAATTAGTGGTTTGTCATGATATGATAATTAAATAATATTTGACAATGAAAAATATGTACAAATTTTTAATAAAAAGAATTAGATTCTTTTTACAAAAATAGGCAGAAACAGTAGTAACAAGAAAATATGAACACTGTGCCACAGAAAATAGTCTAAAAGCAGGAACAACAAGCTCTTTTATCTTTGTACAGTGCATTTATTGCTGTGGTAGTATGGACACTATATTTAGAAGTCTGCTGCATTTTATATTTAGAATTTTTCAGATGGCCAACATCTGTTACCCTTTACTCACCCCTATAATCCTGCTGCAAAGTATGCTCTGTTCTTTCTCTTCTCACTACAGATTAATTAGATTCCATGAACGTTAGGGTCTCATTTAGCAACAGTTCAAATGAGTCCTCTTTTTCTAGACCAAAACCAGTGGTAAAAGCAGAAAATAAAAATAGCTAACCATGCTTTTATTCCTTAATATTGCATATTAAGGCACATTGCTAACTACTTACATTATTCAGTTATGGTTCATAAAGTCTTGTTACCAGAAAACCAAGACTGAGAAATTACATAACTGGCCTATACAATCAGGAGACATCTAGGAGCACCCTTATGTCCAATAATTCACTACCCAGACTCACAAAACTCAGAAAAGCATTTATGCTCACAGTTTCAGTTTATTACAGCAAAAGGGTACAGATTAAAATCAGCAAAGCAAAGAGATGCATAGGACAAGGTCCATGGGAGACCAGACCCAGGGCTTCCAGTTGTTCTCTCCCAGTGGAGTCATGTGGACAGAGCTTATTTCTCCCAGCAAAATTGTGTGACAGTACTTATTGCCTGGCAAGCATGGCTCAGAGGTTGAACGTCAACCCATGAACCAGGACATCACGGTTTGATTCCCGGTCAGGGCACATGCCCAGGTTGCGGGCTTGATCCCGCAGTAGGGGGTGTGCAGGAGGCAGCTGATCAGTGATTCTCTCTCATCTATCTCTCTCTTCCTCTCCCTTCCTCTCTCTGAAATCATTAAAAACATATGTTTAAAAAATATATATATGTGACAATACATATGGAGTATTGCCTACTAGAAGCTCACTCAAACTGGTTTCCAAGGTTTTTATTGGGGTTGGTCACGTAGTCCCACCTGATGGTCACAGTGGCTGACCTTAGCCTCTAGCCCCTCTAGAGATTGAGCTAATACCTTGTGGTCCAAGGTCCCCACCATAAATCACATCTTTGGATAGACTGGCACGGCCTAAGGTGCCCAGGTTAATAAAGGCATTCTTATTAGGCAGCACATTCCAAGGATAGAGGTTACGTCCCAGGAGCCAGGGGCAAAGGGCCCAACATTTTTTTAAGCAAGATTTGTCTTTTATAGCACGGACCCAAGATCTAACAGCTAATTAGGAACATAGCTGAGATTTGAACTCAAGCATTCTGACCTCAAAGCTCAGGTGCTTATTAAGCCCTGTGTAGCAGCCCACCACCTCCAAGAGTGCTGCCTCCTGTGATCATTCTGCAGTAGGCAAAAAACTGCAAAAGAACCCATTAACATAATCAAGAAGTCATACTAGCTTTTTACTAAAATTTTAACATGTTATTCTACTAGGAAAATGGGTATTTAGCACTACGTAAACTGAAATGGTACTGTCTAAAGAGTATCTCTTAGTAGGAAATGCTATTCACCAGAAATACGGTGCTTCTTCTGGATAAAAGTCTTGTACTACATGGTCAAAAGTAATACCATATCTGAAGTAATATTTCCCTAGTTTGGTAATTTTGTTCCTTTCCCTCAAAATTTTTATCTTTTACAACTTTTCAGTGAATTATAATATGTACAAATCATAAGTATGCAGAATGATGAATTTTTACAAACTTAAAACACCTTTGTCTTGTATCTCTGTATCCAGCAGCCAAATACAGAAACAGAAATTATGAATGCCATAGATCCTTTCCCTTCAATTAAAAAAAATACCCCCTCTTTTTCTTTAAATATTTGCTGAATTGTATCTACTTAAGAAATAATTCTTTCCTGACCACACTATGTAAAATTACAGATCCTTTTGATCTATCACTCTATTTCCATTCTCTTTTTATTTTTTTCATTATACTATCTTCTATAGATAAATTACTAACTTTGTTTATTTTCTATCTTTGCCTCTAAAATGAAAGTGTGTGAGGGCCATGATTTGTGTCTGTTTTGTTCACTACTGTATCCTTGTGGCCTAGAAAGTGCCTGGCATCAAATACATGCTCAGTGAATGTTTTTAAATATATATTTGCTGAATTAAAAAAGGTTTTAAAATTTTTTTTCACTTTTTAAAATTTTGAAGCCAAAGCAGTGATTCCCAGAAACTGGTTTAGCCATAATTTCAACATTTCTATTCACCGATGCTTACAGTAAGGAACATAATTTAAATCTATGTTGTTCTCTCTTTAAAAGCAGGGAGAAAATTAAACTAAGTATGTAATCAGAAACTAGCTACAGATGAGACCTGAGAAGAGAATGCAAATTCCATGTTTGCTAACCCATCTTGCCCTCTCCTTTATCACCCCCCCTCTGAGTTTTGGGGCTCTTAGCCACAATTAGCCAATGCTGCATTTCAGTAACTGCTCTGGTGTAAGAAGAATAAGATACTCTAAGCCTGTAAGACACTAAATCAAATACAAAGTTTTCAGACCACAATAACTTCCTTGTAGTTTTAATCATTAAATTAGTCCTAAATCTCAAACATGAAACTCCTGTCCAGACTTTATCAACTTACCATTCGTTTTATGGGCCTGTACATCCTCTTCATACATGCTGGTTTGTACAGGGTGGGCAAGAGTAGGTATATATGTGTGAGTACACTAAACATAGTTTATTCTTGTATTATTATTTTTTATTTTTTTTTTATTTTCCATACAAACAACTATAAACCTACTTTTGCCCCACCCTGGCTGTAAACTGTTCAATGCATAAGTGATCCAAGATCCAGGGGCCTTTCCTTCTATAGTCAGGTGTTCTCGAGTCTAATGTTAGTTGTAAAAATATGGGAACATTTATCTTAGTTAATAAGCTTGCTAATTAATATAATATACCTATTTTTAATGTCATTTAATTATTTGGTTGTATATATACTTGTCTCTTTATATTTGCCAGCATTTCCATATTTCTCATTAATAGGTATAAGGTGTAGAAGTAGTATTTAGACATTTATCAATTTGTTTTTAACAGTTCTATAGTAAACTCTGCCTTTTATTTATTTATTATTTTTTAATTTTTTGGGGTGACATTGGTTCGCAAAACCATACAGGTTTCAAGTGTACATCTCAATAAAACATCATCTACACACTGCATCATGTGCTCATCACACCAAGCAAAGTCTCTTTTTGTCCCCATTTCCCCCACTTTGCCCACGTCTACCTAGTCCCCACCCCTCTTTCCATCACCATTCTGTTATCTGTGTCTATGTGTTATATATATATTAAACTCTACTTTTTAAAATGATAATTTTTTCTCAAAGGCAAAAACTGCTTTTTCTTCCTTGAACATATTCTTTGATTTGTGTGTATGTGTATTTTTTTAGGAGGTAATTCCTTACATGGCTAAGGAATATGGATTCCAATATGAACTAGTCCAATATAAGTGGCCCCGCTGGCTTCACCAACAGACGGAAAAACAAAGGATTATTTGGGGTTACAAAATTCTCTTCCTTGATGTCCTTTTTCCTCTAGCAGTGGACAAAATCATTTTTGTTGATGCTGACCAGGTAATAAGATTAACTGTTGTTTTTAGTAGTACTTAAACTTTTTTCACACTTCTTCCTTAGTATAGGGACTTAATTTATGTTGCTGGTATTTATCACTATCTTTGTTGCCATTCTACATAAACAAGTAAGACATGATTGTGATACATCTTTTTAAAAAACTCAGATTTCCAGGGGAAAATTAAAGATATTGCAAGAAATACCATTTCTTAGTTAGGAAATGGCAGTTTTCTCTCTGAAGTAGTAGTTTTTTAATTTTGGTAATTAAAAATAAATGATTGTATTAGTCATAATAGAAGTTATATGAGTTCCTATGAATATGAGCTGATGGTTGTATAAAATGAGCTGTTCTTCCTGGGAAAGATAGCAATTGCACACAACTCTCTCTCTTCTCACTCTTCCACCTTCAACAGCATTTAGCCATAAACCAAATTCTCATCATTCTATCATTTAACGGGAAAAAAGTGTCCCAAATTTGGCCCAAAAAAACATCATGGTTCTCAGCTTTCAGAATTTATATGTCCACGACTTTGCCCCTTTCCTCCTTGAATACCTTTGTAATCAATCATTCATGGCAAAAAAGTGTTTGGAAAAATGCACAAATTTCTAAAAAGAACAGTAATATGTAAATATTAATGTTATATAAATTAAAATGCATAAGTTAGTACTTATATTTAGGACAAAAAGTATATTTTCAAATTCTATGTTAGATTTTACTTATATCATAAACTCTATTTTTTTTGTTATTTCCAAATTGATAAATGTGAATCATTATAATTAAAAACTAAGAAAATGGGCAAATGTGCGTGATGAACTAAACATTTCCAAACCTACTGTCTGACCAAATTTATTTCTCCTACCTGCCCACAACATATACAGTGATAGTTCTCCAGCAGGCTAGAGCCTATTAAAAAATGAAATATATCAACATTATTGTATTAAAGCCATTGAAGATAGGAGATTTTTCTTTATGATTCAAACTAATATTTGCCAATATACAATAATGGAGATTTATCATAAAAATGATATTGAATTGTTAATTCATACCTTGAGAAACTGAGAGCTGTGCATTTGTCTAATATTTAGTTCCTTCCCAGAATACATTTTGTTTAAAATATATTGATGACAGTGATGTAATAATTATTCTTATTAATGAGTAAGACCTCTGTCATGTTGACTAGGTATATAAATTTTAGGTTATTTTTAATTTGTGTGGAGAAGAGAAAAAATAGAAACTTAGTAAATTCATATTAAATGCAAGAACTGTAAGAAAATCCAGTGCTCTATATTTCTACAATAAGGTAATGATTTGAGATTCACATAAAAGGTGCTTATATTATTTTATAGTCTTCACCAGAAAAACTATTTTAATTATTTAGATTGTGAGACATGACCTGAAAGAACTTCGAGATTTCGATCTGGGTGGAGCTCCTTATGGGTATACTCCATTTTGTGATAGCCGCACTGACATGGATGGGTATCGTTTCTGGAAGAAAGGATATTGGGCATCACATCTTTTAAGAAGGAAATACCATATCAGGTAAGAAAACTTATACTGTTACTTTTTAGTAAATAACTTTTGAATCACCAATACTCAGTTCTCTTAGAAATTACACAGTAATGGCAACCAATTACATAGTCTATTACATGCCAGGCACTCTTACAAGATTTTACATATATTAACTCATAAAACCTCTATGACAACCTTGAGATACTATTGTTATCCCCGTTTTATAGATGTGGAAACAGGCATACAGCACTTAAAATAACTTGCCCAGGCTTACATAACTAAACCGAGTTAAACCCATGTAATATGGCTCAAGTAATATGCTTCTAACTACTACAGACAATTTAAATTTGGTTTGTCATATAAGTAGACAAACACTGGGGGAAAGTAAAAATCTATAAATAACATAGGAGTACTCATTTTTTGCAGTGCCTTATATGTAGTGGATCTCAAGAGGTTCAGGAGAATTGCAGCAGGTGACAGGCTCCGGGGCCAGTACCAAGCTCTCAGTCAAGATCCAAACAGTCTTTCAAACCTAGATCAGGTAAGTAAAGTGTTTGTGGAATAATTGTCAGTATATAGAGATAGACTGCTCCAACTGCTGGCTTGTAAACTTCAAATTTTTATATTTTCAGCTTTTTCTCTTTATAGAATTCTCTATTGGATATCCAGACTTACATATAATTTTTTTAACTTCAAGCTCAACATTTATCTTCACTTTTCCATCCTAAAACTACTTCTTCCCACTATATGCCCTATCTCACATACCCTATCTTTTTCTTACTTCCATCATCATTTAAACATGTCTCTCTGGTCTTTAAAACAAACTCACTTCCTCCTGTGCCCCATCTGCTACTGCCTTACATTTTCTTTTACCTAATAGAAAATTTTTTTCTTCACATCCCACTAATGAAAACTACAATGAGTAATCCTACACACCCATTAGAATGGTTAACATTAAAAAAACTGACCACACCAAGTGCTAACAAGGTATGCAGTGGCTAGAACTTGCATACATTGCTGATGAGAATGTAAAATGGTATAGCCATTTTGGAAAATAGTTTGGTGATTTCTTATAAATTTAAATTTACACCTGACATATGACCAGTCTTTCCACTTTGAGGTAATTACCCAAGAGAAATGAAAACACATTGCCTACACACACTTGTGTGTGAATAGACACATACATAATTGTTCGACAGCATTAAGGTCCCCCTTAAGATTCATGTTCATGAGGTTAAAATGAAAACAGCATGGTTTATGTGTGTCCATGTGTTTTGCAAGCCATGTTTAGTTGCAGGACTATAATTTTGCCAAGTGAGTACAACTAAGTGAAACCAGGGTAAGCCAATTGAGAGTATATTCAAGGGATTAACTGTAACGATTAACCATAGAAATTAAGTTATGTAAGGAAGGAAGCAAAGACATCAAGGGGTGATGGACAATGAAATAGGATCATTTGACTGGAAGTTCAAATGATGACCAAAAGATACTGATATCTGAGTACGAGATGGAGTGAGCTGAAAATCAAGAGGTGGTCAGAGAGTGGGATCATGAATTTGAAATTGCAGAGGACTTGGCTAGGACATGACCAGGGGAAAAAGTGGCTGAGATAAGATGACAGACCAGGTAATTTAAGGAATGGATTCCAAGGAAAAGCGTTTTGGAAGAAACCATGTAGCTTTTTATTATTATTATTATTGAATAGACTTTTCTTTTTTAGAGCAGTGTTAGGTTTACAGAAAAAAAATTGAGCACAGCTCTGGCCAGTGTTGCTCAGTGGTTAGAGCATCGGCCTGCACACTGAATGGTCTCGGGTTCAATTCCTGATCAAGGGCAAGTACCTGGGCTTCAGGTTCACTCCCTGCCCCTAGTCGGGGCACGTGCTGGTGGCAGCCAGTCGATGTGTCCCTCTCACCTCTCTCTCTCTCTCTTTTTCTCTCTCCCCCCTTTTCCCCCTCTCTCCCCTCCTCCCACACTCCTTCCACACTCCTTCCTTCCCTCCCTCCCTTCCACTCTCTTTGAAAAGCAATAGAAAAAATCCTCAATTGAGGATTAGGAAAAGAAAAAAAAATTGAACTTAAAATACAAAGAATTTCCATATTTATGGGCTGTCTCTTCTATTCCATTGATCTGTTTAGTCTTTTGCCAATACCATACTTTCTTAATTACTATAGATTTTTATAGTAAGACTACAAGTTCAGTAGTATAAGTCCTCTGACTTTGTTGTTCTTTTTCATTATTGTGTTGGCTATTCTGGATTTTTTGCCTTTCCATATAAACTTTAGAATCGGGTAGGCCAATATCCACAAAATAATTTTCTGGGACTTTTATTGGGATTGCATTCAATCTATAGATCAAGTTGGGAACAATTGACATTTTATCAATTTTGTGTCTTCCTATTCATGAACATGGGCTATCCATTTATTTAGATCTTCCCAGATTTCTTATATCAGAATTTTGTAGTTTTTTTTTCTCATGTAGAAGAACATATTTTGTTAGCTTTTTACCTAGGTTTATTTTTTTGTCTTGTTTGTTTTTGGTGCTAATGTCATGGTGTTGTGTTTTTAATTTCAAATTCCAATTGTTCATTGCTGGTATATAGCAATTTTTTGTTTTAATACTTTTTTAATTGATTTTTTGAGAGGAAAGGAGAGGGAGAGAGAGAACATCAGTGTGAGAGCGAAACATTGATTGCCTGCCTCCTGCATGCCTCCTCTTGGGGATTAAGCCTGAAACCTGGGCCTGTGCCCTGATCAGGAATTGAACCAGCAACTTTTCAGTACTTGAGATGACACCCAACTGAGCCACACAAGCCAGGGTGCAATTGACTTCTATATATTAACTTTGTATCCTAAAACATTGCTATAATTACTTATTAGTTCCAGTAGGTTTTTTTATTGATTCTTGGCACTTTTTGCATAAATAATCCTGTCATCTGTGAACAAAGACAGTTTTATTGCTTCCTTTCCAATTTGCATATCTTTTATTTCCTTTTCTTGTGTTGTTGCATTAGCTAGTACTTCCATTATAATCTTTGCTTAGAAAGCCCTGAGCATACAGAAAAGTGAAAATGTTTATGGAACATTGTTTTAACAGGAAAGTGAAAGGTCACCTCAGAATCTGGAGAATGTGGTGGTAACTGACATAAACAGTAATAGCAGGCACGGTGTGAATGATCAATCCTGGTGTTTCAAGGCAGATAGAGGGAATCTGTTTGGGGAATGTGAAGTGGTGGGTTTCTAGGCCTCCTTCTTCAGCCCTGATCCTAGGGGTCAAGTCCAAGGCAGGTGTGGACTCAATTCCAGTGCATGGATTTATTCATGACACAGATGACTGCATCAAGTTAAGTACTTAAAGCTTAAAAGTAGAAAGATATCTCAGATTTACATGTTTTTAAGGATCTATTTATAATCTAAATGACATCTTTGACTTCTTTTGCTCTGACTCTAATCTCTATACCTCTTTGTTTAAATCTTTTTTTCCCCTGTAGGATCTTCCCAATAATATGATTTACCGAGTTGCCATTAAGTCTCTTCCTCAAGATTGGCTGTGGTGTGAAACCTGGTGTGATGATGAATCCAAACAAAGAGCCAAAACAATCGATCTGGTGAGTGCCTGTGGTTATTTTCATTTGTGTATAAGCAGATACGAAAATGTTCACTAAAAATATTTTATGTTTTACAAATGGAATGGCACACACTGATACACTGTTGCTCAGTTTGTTATTTTTTATTGTATTTCCTTAGGTTGGCAGGTGTAGGGCTGTGTCAGGGATTCCCTGAGTCCACCCCAGGTTTGATGTTTCTCTAAGAGGACTCACAGGACTGAGAATATAGTCATGCTTGTGGTTATGATTTATTCGAGTGAAAGGGTACAAAGCCAGGACAGCAAAGAGAAAATGTACATGGAGTGAAGTCCAGAGAAAACCAGGCTTCCAAGAGCCCCATCCTGTGAAGTTACATGGAACAAGCTTAATTCATTAAGCTATGAAAATTTTCATAACAAGCATGAAATGTTGTCTCCTGGGGAAGCTATTAGAAACCCAGTGCCCAGGATTCTTATTGGGGGCTGTTCACATAAGCACCCCCTCTGCCTGGCACATACCAAAATTCCCAACATGCAGAAGGAAGGTATGTGTTCAGCATAGACCAGGTTGTTTGCACAGATTAGGCCCCATGAGCCATTCTTATCAGGGAATGGGGGGAACACTCCTGAAATACACATTCCCAGGTGCCAGCCATGCTATGCTTTCTAAGAATAGCAATCTCAGGCCAGCTGTTAACTCTTTTCACACAAGGGCTTTTGAAAGAAAGGCCATGAGCTGGCTGACACATTCATGAGTTAGCTATCATCTCAGCATATCATCAGTTTAATTCTCCTGCCAATATTTTTCCTAAATAAAGATAACCAAAATAATTGTCTCCGCTCAAATTATTTTATATATGTCTATTTTCTTCCTCATTTTTGAGAAGTATTTTTTATTACCTTTTCATTTTAAGCAATTTAACCATGCTACCCAGTTTAACTCTTCTTGACACGAAATATTTCAAACTAGTTTATTGTCTGTCTAGGATTCACATTCGAATACTGTATTGTCTTTTAACAGTTATGAGATATTATCATTCTTTTTCTGACCATATTGTTTTTATGTGCTTATTTAAGTATAAAATAGTTGTGTACAAGATCATTACTGAAGAATAAGCTGTCTAAATATTAGAATTCATACAGTTTTGAGCAAAATAGGACAGAACATTAAAATATAGGGATGTTTTTCCAGATACGTGTACAATTGTATAGAAAAAAAAGTGGCATGCCAGAATATTAGAATGCAATTGTAGATGATAGAATGTAGCAGAAACAAATAAGAAGGCATTATTAAGAAAGCAAGGGAATTTTCTTTTTATTATAGTTTATTGGGGTGGCATTGGTTAACAAAACCATACAGGTTTCAAGTATACAACTCAGTAAAACATCATTTGCACACTGCATCCTGCGCCTGTCACCTGAAGCAGTTTCTTTCCCTCCCATTTATCCCAACTTTGCCCACCTTCACCTATCCCAACCCCTTCCCCTCTGGCTACCACCACACTGTTGTCTGTGTGTGTGTGTGTGTGTGTTTGTGAGTTTTTTGCTTAATCCTATCACCATTTTTTCACCCAGCCCTCCAACCCCCTTCCCCTCTGACAGCTGTCAGTCTGTTCTATGTACCTATGCTTCTGTTTCTTTTGTTTGTTAAATTATTTTGTTTGTTAGATTACACATAGAAGTGAGGTCATATGATACTTGTCTTTCTCTGACCAGCTTATTTCACTTACCATAGTGTTCTCCAAGCCTATCCATGCTGTCACAAAAGGTACCACAGGTTTTTTATCCACTCATCTACTTTTGGGCACTTGGACTGCTTCCAAATCTTGTCCATTGTGAATAGCACTGCAATAAACATAGAGGTGCATATATTCTTTCAAATTAGTGTTTTGGGTTTAGAAGCAAAGAAATCTTCTAAAGAGAGATCAAGAACATTACTAAACATAGCTAAGATGTTGTTTAAGGTTGTGTTGTAACATAAAATGTTGTGACTCATACCTTAGTGACATGAAGTCTCCTTGGGATCCTTAGGAATACTTAAGTTAACTTGAGCTACTGTAACAAACTCCCAGATTTCAGTGGTTTCACACTCACCCAAGTACAGATGTAAGTGGGTGCCCTGTCTGTGAGTAGCTTTCCTGTATAACATAACTCAGGGACCAGTCCCTATTCAGCTTGTGGCTTGTTCATCCTCTAGGGTCTTGTCATCATCGGTACCCATCCGTCCAGTATGGCAGTGATGTACCGTATGTTGCCAGTGAGCACCTAAAATGTTGTCAGTCTGAACTGATGTGCTGTGGGATGTAAAATACACACCAGATTGGGAAGGCTGTGCAACAAAAAGAATGTAAAAATATTACTAATTTTTATATTGATTACATATTGACTGATAACATTTTGGACATATTGGGTTAAATAAAATGGAGTATTAAAATTTATTTCACTTGCCTGACTGGCATGCTCAGTGGTTGAGCATTAACCCTTGAACCAGGAGGTCACAGTTGGATTCCCCATTAGGGCACATGCCTGGTTTGTGGGCTTGATCCCCAGTAGGGGGCATGCAGGAGGCAGCCAATCAATAACCTTCTCTTATCGTTGTTTCTTTCTCTCTTCCCCTTTCCCTGAAATCAATAAAAACATATTAAAATAAAATTTATTTCACTTGTTCCTTTTACCTTTTTACATGTGGCTACTAGAAAATTTTAAATTCCATATGCAGTTTCCATAATATTTCTGTTGGATAGTATGATCTGGAGTGAAGGAAGCATCCTGACTCCTAAGGGCCTTGGCCCCTTGATAGAACTTGGTCATGTGGCCACATATAGATGTAAGAGGAACTGAGAAATGTCATTCCTGGATGGGCAGCTACTTCCTAGCAGTAGGTCTGCATAGGAAAAGGACAGTGACATAAATTTTGGTGGACAGCTTAGCCATCTCTTCCTCAGAAACACTAAAAATAAAAATGAGAGAACCTGCTACTTTGAGCTAGCTTCTTGGGGAAAAGGTTAAGGGAATGCAGAAAAATTCCAAGGAAATGGCATAAGGGTGAGGAAAAAGCATGAATAATGGTATTGAAGGTGAGACTATTTCAGTAAGGATTTCTCTATCTGGGCTTTACTAACATTTGGGACCACATAGTTCTTTGTTGTGAGGTCTGTCCCATGCACTGCAGGATGTTGAGCAGCATCCCTGGCCTCTACCCACTAGATAGCAGCAGCACCCCACCACCCCCAGTCATGACAAACAAAAATGTCCCCAGACCTTGCCACAGCTCCCCTCAGGGGAATACTAACCCCATTTAAGCAGCATGGATGTAGATTGTAGGAAAAAAATTGCAGCACAGTAAAATTAAGGAAAACATAGTATTTTTATTTTAATAATTTCTGCCACAAAAAGAGGGAAAATAGTTCCATTATCTTCACATTATCGAACATATTGCCTATAGTTATATTATGAAAAAAATCCTATTTTCCACTACTTGAGATTAAAAAGTTGACAGTGGAATGAACTGAAAATATCTGGTGAGGAAAAGATTAAGACAAAAGGCTCATGGCTAATAATTAATAGCTTTCCCATAAGGCTGGGGCGGCAGGGGTAAGGGAGGCAAATTTCAGCAACCATGAGAAAATGTAACTTAGAAGTGAGCTTCAAGACTCGTTTCCTGTGAATGCTTTGTAATGAGGAAGTGGATGTCTGTGTAGCTTTGTGAAGTCTATGCTCCTCTCATAGTCTTTTCTGTCTCAGTCAAGGGCATTTCCATTCTTTACTTTGCTCAAGCCAAAGACACCAGGGCCATCTTTGATGTCTCTCTTTTCTCACAACTCACATTCAGCCCATTAGCAACTCTTGTCCTCTGAACCTTCAGTACATCCAGAATTAGATGCTTCTCAACCATCTTCTCACCTTTTCTTTTGCCTTTTAAACTATATAATTTCCCAAGAAACTCTATAGTAGGACCAATTGCTAAGTAGTTTAAAATGATCATATATTAGCGGAACCTTGGAGATGATCTTGTTTTAATTTCCTCCTTTGTAGATGAAGGAACTCAGATCACACACGCACACACACACATGCATGCACAGACGCACAGTTAAGTGACATATGTGGGTCTTACTCTACCAACCAGTAAGGTGGAACCCTGAGGACTGAGATTTATGTACTACTCTGAACTTCACAACCATTAGTATTTGGACAGATGAGTTCCAGTTAACTGATTTTTAATACACTCACAATTGCTCATTAGAACAGAGGCATGTGAAGGGGAATGAATGCTTTTGCTAAAGAGACTCAGGACATTTCTAAAGGCTGACAAATGGTTTTGTCTGTGGAAAATGTAAAGTATATTATCCAAATTTTTAGTCCAGAGAAAAGGTAAGAAAATATTTATTAATATAGTCTGTGCTATGTTCTTTGTCAGAATAGTCATGTATTTAGACCTCTTGTCAACAAAACATTTTACAGAATTGTTTGGCAAACTTATGAACAATTTTTGTTTGAATTTCTGATTGAGGTATTTGTGTTGAACACTTACTGCCTACATAAACTGTGATTTGTCATTTCACTTGATCTGTCTCTATTAAACTAATTCCAGTATTTCTAGGACTTAGAACTCTGCTTTTTATAAAATGCATTTTATTTACTCCAGTGACACAGCAGTGTCCTCAAGTATTTCCTTTATGTTTCTGGAGCATGGTTTTTCTATTAACAAAACTTTATTTAAACTTTTAGTGCAATAATCCCAAAACAAAAGAACCGAAACTGAAGGCTGCTGTCAGGATTGTCCCAGAATGGGTGGAGTATGATACTGAGATACGACAACTGTTAGATCACCTTGAAAACAAGAAGAAAAATGCAAGTAAGTCATCATTCGTGGTGGTGTCTGAACCATATGTCACATTAAATGAAATTAGAATAGATTACACACCTATTCCTTTACTTTTTGTGTCAAAAAAATCCCTACCAAGACCAATGTCAAGAAGTTTAAAGCCTGTGTTTTCTTCTAGGAATTTTATGATTTCAGGTCTTATGTTCAAGCTTTTAATCCATTTTAGTTAATTTTTGTATATGGTGTAAGATAGAGGTGCAACTTTCTTCTTTTGCATGCGACTGTCCAGTTTCAGCACCATTTATTGAAGATACTGTTGTTTCCTCATTGTATGTTCCTGAGTACTTTCACATAAATTAATTGACTTTATATGCACGGGTTTATTTCTGGGCTCTCTGTCCTGTTCCATTGATGTACATGTGTGGTTTTATGCTAATACTGTACTATTTTGACTATTATAGTTTTGTGATATAGTTTGAAATCAGGAAATATGATACCTCCAGCTTTGTTCTTCTTTCTTAAGATTGCTTTGGTTATTTGGGGTCTTTTGTAGTTCCATACAAATTTTAGGATTGTTTTATGTCTGTGAAAAATTCTGTTGGAATTTTGATAGGGATTACATTGAATCTGTAGATTGATTTGTGTATTATGAACATTTAACAATATTCTTCCAACCCATGGGAAGAATATCTTTCTGTTTATTTGTGCCTTTACCAATCTCTTATTGTTTTCAGTGTGTAGGTCTTTTACCTTTTTGGTTAAATTTATTTCTAATTATTATTTTTGATACAATTGTAAATGGGATTGTTTTCTTAATTTTTCTTTCTGATAGTTTGTTATTAGGGTATAGAAATGCAACAGATTTCTGTATATTGATTTATATCCTGCAACTTTACTGAATTTGTTTATATATTTTAACAGTTTTTGGTAGCTTCTTTAGCGTTTTCTCTATATAATATCATTGCATCTGCAAATAGTGTCAGCTTTACTTCTTTCTTTACTATTTGGATGCCTTTTAATTCTTTTTCTTACCTAATTGCTGTGGCTAGGGCTTCAATACTGTGTTGAATAAAAGTGGCAATCATGGGTATCTTTGTCTTAGATGAAAAACTCTCAGCTTTTCACCATTGAGTGTGATGTTAGCTATGGGCTTGTTATATACAGTGGTACCTCGGTTTTCAAATGTCTCCGTTGATGATCGATTTATGAACGCTATAAACCCGGAAGTAAATGCTTCAGTTTTCGAAGACACCTCAGAAGCTGAACATGCCACACGGCTTCCACTGGCTGCAAGATCCTGAAGCCTAGCTGTTGGCTGTTGATCCCTCGGTTTTCGAACGTTTCAGAACTTAAATGGTCTTCTGGAATGGAGTACACTTGAAAACCGAGTACCACTGTATAGGGCCTGTATTATGTTGAGGCATGTTCCCTCTGTACCCACTTTGTCGTGAGTTTTCATAAATGGATGATGAATTTTGTCAAATGCCTTTTCTACATCTATTGAGATGATCATATGATTTTTATCCTTCTTTTTTTCTTTTTTCTTTTTTTTTTAACATATCTTTATTGATTTCAGAGAGAGGAAAGGAGGGGGAGAGAGAGAGATAGAAACATCAATGATGAGAGAGTCATTGATCGAGCCCGCAACCCGGGCATGTGCCCTGACCGGGAATCGAACCCCGATTGCCTGGATCCTAGGTCGATGCTCAACCACTGAACCACGCCCGGCCAGGCTTTATCCTTATTTTCTTAATGTGGTGTATCATATTGATTGATTTGTAGATGATGAACCAACCCTGCCTCCCTGAAATAAATCCCACTTGATCATGGTGTATGATCCTTTCAACGTAGTGTTGAATTTGGTTTGCTAACATTTTGTTGAGGATTTTTGCATCTGTGTTCATCAGGGATATTGGTCTATAACTTTCTTTTCTTATGGCATTCTTGTTTGGTTTTGGTATTGGCAATGCTGGCCTTGTAAAATCAGTTTGGAAGTATTCCCTTCTCTTCTATTTTTGGAAGAGTTTGAAAAGGATTGCTTTTAATTCTTCTTAAATGTTTCATAGAATCACCAGTGAAGCCATCTGTTCCTGGATTTTTCTTTGTTGGGAGGTTTATGATTACTGATTCAATCTCCTTACTAATAATTAGTCTGTTCTGATTTTCTGTTTCTTCCAGATTTAATATTGGTAGGTTGTGTGTTTCTAGGAATGTACTCACTTCTTTCAGGTTGTCCATTTGTTGGCATGTTCATAGCAGCCTTTTATGATCCTTTGTATTTCACGGTTATATTGTCTTTTTATTTTCCCTAGTCTTCCCTCTGTGTCTTGGGAAAATTTTTTACTTTCTCTTCAACCCTTCTATTAATTTTTATTGTTAAGAGGGACAATAACATCTTAATTTCCAACAGATCTTTCTTTTCCCTGTTTGCTTCCTTTGAGTTTCAGTTTATTCTTGTTTTATAGTTTCATTGACTTTCAGAAATCTCTGGAAAATATTAATTAGAATTATTTTAAGTATCCCTTTGGTTTTCTCAGTTATCTTTCTTTCCATTGGGTGAGTTGTTTTGTGTGGTCATCTTGGTCTTGTTTCTTTTGCTTTTATAGTCTTCCTCGAATTTTTATATATTTAAGAATGAAATATTAGATTGATATAGATAGCTGGCATAGTAGGTTTCCCTTGCCATGGTGTAAATGTGTCTGTTTCTCCAAGAGGCTTCTCTGAATGGGAAGGTTGATTGATAGCTCTAGGTATGTTAGCATGTTGTACAACTAACTGGCAGGCTTCCCTCTGGATGTATGTGCGTGGAATAGATGAAAGCCTATCCCAGATATCACCCTACCCACAAGCCAAGAGTATCGATACCCGTACAAAAATATCTATGTGTCTGTCTCTCTCTTTTCCTCTCTCCTTTCCCCTCCCCCCTCTCCTTCAATAGATTATTCAGTTTGTTTTCAAGAATAGTTTTCTAGCCCTGGCTGACATGGCTCAGTGGTTACCCACTGAAGGGTCTCGGGTTCAATTCCCGGTCAAGGGCATGTACCTGGGTTGCAGGTTTGATCCTCACCCCAGGCAGGACACATTCAGAAGGCAACCAGTCAATGTGCCTCTCTCACATCAGTGTTTCTCTCTCTCTCTCCCTCCCTCCCTCCCCATTTCCCTCCCTTCCATTCTCTCTAAAATCAATGGAAAAAATATCCTGAGGTGAAGATTAACAAAACAAAAAAAAAGAAAGAAAGAATAGTCTTCTACTTTTTCTCTTGGAATAGTTGTCAGCTTTTCTTCAGTCTGCAGTAAAATGGGAGGGAAAGCTGACTGGCACAGATATTCTAGACCAGTCCTTCAGTTAATTGCTGCTCTGTCTCACTCACTCCCCACCAGTGTTTTCTGTTAGGAGGTTCACCCAGCTTCCACTGTCAGGAATATCAATATATCTCAACTGTGTCTTTATGTATTCAGCTGTATATTCTCTTTTCCATTTTTAGAAATTCACTGATAACTCTGCTCTGATGTCTCATAATCACTTCCCACATTCTCTTATCCCCTTTTATATTTCTTTTCTTTAAAGCGGAATTTAGTGAAGAGAGAAACATAGTGTGCCATCTCGAATTTTGGTACAGAATGCATTTAAGTTGTATTTTAATTAGTTTCTACCTGAAAATATCATTTTGAATTCTCAGTGTTCTTAAATCAATTAATATGTGACAGGTCAGTGATGCAGAAAAAAAAAGAAACCATTTTTGTCTCTAAGAGTCCACTGTTATTGATTCTCACATTTGTGTAATACCTGTGTCTATGTTTGAATGCTCTCTCCTCCCATCATAGAAGAATACCATGTATGTGTTCTGCTCTTTGTTGTTGCATTACACTCATACTTTGTGCGTGGTCAGTAATCTGTTAGTATATTTCAAGGCCTCCATTGCCAGGCAGGGTGCTAGGCCCTAGGATAACAAAGATAAATAAGGTATGGTTCTTGTCCTCCTAGACTGATGGGAGCACACTTCTAGGAGGGTAAAAAGGTAAGTAGTCATGGTACAGTGCAATACAATTGATACCTAATGTACAGAGCTATTCTCATGTCACATAATGAAGCAAATAGGTACTAAACTAACAAAAAAAAGGATCCTGTCAACACCTGTGCTTTTTCTATGTCCCATACATCAGTGAGATTTACTCTAATTTGATATTAAAGTTTTCAAGAAATAAACTTTCCTCCCCTACAGTTTTGACACATGATGAACTCTAGCACTGGCTTTTATGAAAGAAGATAAAAAGTATGACAAGAAATCTGCCACCTGCTGGGAAAGTGTGGAACTACTGCTAAGACTTTTGGAAGTTTCATTAAAGATCGGTGACATATTCTTCAATTTAAAAAATATTATTTAAAAATACATGTACTTAATGTATTAAGTTTAAGTTATATAAGAAATGACCACTGAGTATTTAAAACTAAGACTATTCCTTTTTCCTGATTGCTTAAAACACTGTTTTTTTACCAAAGTGATATTTTGCCACGTAACCCAGTAAAAAACATATCTAACTAGTGGGGGTTTACCAAACCATCAACATCTTTGTGTATTTAAGCTCTCTGTGCATTTATATCTTCTTATTCACAAAATGCATTTAAAATTAGAAAAATGTATGTTTTTTCTTCTGAGAAAAGGACTCATGGTTATCTCTGAATAGCAATAAAAAATTAAGCCTATTTATACCTTATCTGTTGTAAAATAGAAAGTAGTGTCACATTATATTATTTTCTTAAATCATATGATTTAATCTTATGCTCAATTTGCATTTTTTTAATATTTCTAATTTTTATTTTATGATATTTTTGGGCTTATGGGTTGTATGTATGTACTTTTTAAAAAAAGAATTAGCTACTTTTATGGAAACTAAGTTAAGAATGTAAACTTCATTTTCCTGCTGAGCATTTATAATAGGAGAATAGGAATAGTCAGTGTTCATAACCTACCCAACTATTTCAGAGTCATAGGATTTGGGGACTGGAAGAGAGCTCCAAGTCATTAGGACCCCAGCCCCTGAAGAGTCTAATGTAACGGGGCAGAGGTGAACGTGGGAAATCATGATGGTTTAAAAAGCTCCCCAGATGATTCTGTTGATATGTGAGGTTTCGGGAATATCCAGTAGAGTTTAGCCCCCAGTCAGTGTGCCAGCCCCCATTACAAGGCCCTGCCAAGTGGAGCCTCAGGCACCTCTGAATCCTCCAGGCCGATAGAAAACTGTCTGCCTCTAGAGACAGGCTGGTCCATCTTTGACAGCTCTGACAGTTAGGTCACCAGTGAGCCAGGAGCTGTCTCCTGGCAGTCTCTCCTCTTGGCTCCTTTGAGCTTTTCTCAATAAGGCTAGTCCTCTATTTGACGGCACAGCCTGGAGTATTTTCAAGTAAGAACTGTTCCCAGTAGCTTCATTCATTGCTATTAAGAGATCACGAGACCTCTGCTTCTTCTGGTCACCCTCCCTTTACTCATGTTTGTCTCTGATAAAATGGAGTGCTCCAGGTATGGCCTACCCTGATGGAACAAGATTATTCCTGTGGTTTCCAGGGATCCTAAGGAATGTTATCAAAGGCTGCAGTGGTAACTTGGCCTGAGGTGACCAACTCCACGTGCTCTGTGGCTCACTCCTCTTTGGAGTTGGGAGTAACATCTGGGTTTGACAAGAGGTAAGATTCTGAGAGCTCATGGCTTAGTGTTTTGGGCAGAAGCCCCAACTGACTGCAAGATGTTACTTTGCTTTCCTTTATTGTCAGCTTGTTTCCACTGCTATAAGAATCCTGTGGAAAGGGTCAGCTAGGCAAAGACACCTGATTCTCATGCTTACTATTACTGTTATGTCCAATTTTGCTAGTATTTCATAGAGCAGAAGCTAGAACTGCAGAATAATATAGTCTTGATGGCTCCCTTCCCAGTTTGTCTTGTGACTTGAATGGCTAAATTTATGTCTCATTTCCACATGGCTATACCTTGTATCTGAAAGTCTAGATTTATAAATACTCTATAAGGAACTACTTCTTTGTTCGCCTGGCAGCCCTTATTTCATTGTCTTCACACTAAGGCCAGTTGCTCATATACTGCCAAGATATGATTATTAAGAATTTGCAAACTTTGAGCTTACGAAGTTCTGTATAAGCATTCTACCTGTCTTTTAGTTTTAGGGTCTGCAGAATATAGAATTGAGAAGCCAGCTTCTTTTGTTGGTTGTTACAAATTTGATGGAGATAGGCAGCAGTGTGTCCCCCACCGCTCTCTAACAGAAATGTACAAATTATAGTATAAAAGGGAAAGTCTTCAAACAAAGCGAATTTAAGTATTAGATTTTAATTGTATTGAAATTGAAGAACTATCCACTTTTAATGCCTTGCTGTCCTCAGACTTTTGGAAGTGAAGAGATTTTAGCCATTTTTGCATTTGGTGCTCTGATCTTCCTTCAGCTTTCGAACAGGAGCCCTTGTCATCTCATTACTGATTATGTGTGAAAAAAGTGGGTAAATGGACTTCTCCAAAAGACTAAAAATGAATCAGAAGCAAAAGAGTACTGATTTTGACCATAAATATTTTTATTAAATGTGAAAATACAAGGGCATAAAAATAGTACCCATATGTGGACATGTCTGAGACCCATTTCAATTAATTTTCAGGTTTTTTTTATTAAAACACTAAATTGAGATGGATTAAGTTACTTAGTCTTCTCATTCAAAACCAACTATCCAGCCTTAAGCAGGATATTTTAACCCCGAGAACATCTCATTTTTACATTCTCTGCACTCTGCTTTCCACTGCTAAAAGGTTCAACCACAGATGATTGGAACGAAACCTGTTAACTATACACAAAGCCACGCAGTGGCTAATTTTACTCTTAAATCATTCAGCAAATGAGATCATCCATAAAAACAGAAATTATCCCCACCTTATTAACATCATTTGCAATTACAGGATAAACTCTGCTACTTTAAAGGGAATGATCTGATTTAGAAAAAGGATATGTGTTGACAAATATTAGCATTTGCCTTCTTTCTTCCTTTCTTCCTTTTTAAATATGGAAAAGTATATTACATTCAACAGATTGCATGAGTCTCTCTAGGTTATACTGTTGATATGTACTCAATGAAAACTCTTTGCAAGGCCTGTCACCAGTGTCCTGTACCTTTAAGGCAGTCGGCCCTAACAAACACCTGACTGAGGAACCATTTTTAATTTAAGCATCTCATGAATGTTTTTCATGGTAAGTCTCACACACAACTTTTGACCAGTTTCATGCCTTTAAAGATGAATCTTTCATTTTCCACCATGACTAGAAAATGGTGCTAATTTTAAATTGTGAGTCATTAAAAATTTGTGGGTAGTTTACATTCTTTTATCAGAGAATCGAAAAGTTCTGTTTCCATATTGATATTTAAAATGAACTTTTAATACTGACTGAAGAGAAAGACATTTTAACATTAGTATTATGTTATAACCAATTCACATCAGTAAACTATTGAAGTTGTTTTCGAGTTTTCATTTATCCAATGGTAAGAACAAACAAACTTTCATAAGTGGGCAATAAATTAATTCTCTTTTTAGAACTTTTTCACATTTATAGGCTGTTTAATACTTGCTGCTGTGGTAATTATCCACAATGTACAGACCAGCGATACTTCACTCCCAGAGCTCACCAAAAAGGGAGGCGTTTAAGAAGGGAATACAATACAGGTAAGGTGAAATGCTCTCTGAATTCACTTTCCCAGAAAGAGCCACAAAGGTTACGAGGCACTGCAGTCTCCAAAGGGAGACTAGAGACTGGTGTAAGTAGCCCTCAAAGCAGTCGATTGCTTCCTCAGTCACCTGCTTTCCATGCACAACAGTCTCCATCAGGCCCGCAAGGAAACTGACTCCCTTTACACACCCACGGCTTCCCCAGGCACGTAAGGAAACATGAATGGCCATCTTTCCATGCAGGTGGATACTAGAAGACTGCTGATGCCTGTCCAGGCTGCACTTAAAGGCCATTGTTTTCTTCATCAGTCAGCAAAAGAATTTCTCTGAAGGGTTGGCACTTGGCATCACGACTTTTACTCTCTTCACTGAAAACAGGCCAGTAACTGCACATTTCAGTACGATGACTAAGTCCATGGTAAGACTAAACAAGAATTATGGTCATTACAAATGGAGAAAAATAATGTAAACAACCCTCTGGGCAGCAGCTGGCAGGCCGCCAGGTATCCAGTGTCCCGGACACACCTCCCATGTGGCCCAGCTCTCAGCCCTCCTGACTCCCTCAGGCTTCTTGTTGGCAACTTTTCAGCCTCTCCTCTCCCGGGAAGGGCAAGTGATTTGATTTCCTTTGTTCTGATTGTGTGTGGAAATCCTTTTTTTTGAAAGTAGGTAGAGGCCATTGCTAGATTTCAGAAAGGTCACAGTGACATCATATACCAAAGAACCACACTGAAAAATTTTTTTTCTGATATAACAAAGTAGTGAGATTACTGAGATCAAATAAAAATGAATCTCCTTTGGAAATTATTTTCACACTAGCTTGAATTCTGAGACATTAAAACAAAATGAAAGCTGCAAGCTGTTCACTAGTTTTCAGAATGCATTGTTAAGTTTATTGGTAAGAAATAGACTCCTAAATAGATGCAAAAAGCACTTATGTGTTTTACCCAATTCAACTATGCAATTTTTGTCTCCCAGTTTTAAAAATTTTTCCATGTTTCAGAATGACTATAGAAGAAAATGATTTGTGCTTTGCTGTTGTGGACATTACTGGTCAGGATGCCACCTAGAACTAAAATTAAAATGCTTGATTTCATAAAAACATATTAGACTCGTACTGCTTAAAATGTTTCAACATGCTCTAAGACAAACAGAAAAACCTTTCCTGAATAAAGGTACTAATTCTCTTAGATTTTAAATCCATATCAGTAGTTCCATAAATATTTAATATTCTTGATTAAAGTAGCACTCATTTGGGGGGAAAATTATCAAATAAACAAAGATTGAATAGTTCATTTTCTTCAAAGATACAAAGAAGGTATCCCAAGAAGAGATACCATCTTGATAGTGAACATATAGCCAGAGCTGAGGATTTGTAAACCTGTATTTTTTTTTCACACAGGAGAACGTGTTGAGGCATCAAGGTCTGGTAATGGGGCGGGTCTGCTGTTTAATGCCCACTTGAAACAGCCCCCCCCTCCCGGTTGGGAGGTACTACAGTCCAAGAGGGTGAGCCAGGCTGCGCCACTTTTTGTCTTAAGAGTGGGAAGAGGGCATTCTGTTTTATGTTAACTGAGCAACTTTACATTTCTAAGACAACCCTGTTATAGGAACTGTTTAACTCACAATTTCAGTTGCTGAAGTATTTCACTCTGCACTTCAGCAAAATTACTTTGAATAAAACCACTGCTATCTTATCTGAACCTATTTTATATATATCTTTTAAGTTAATTTGTTGTGTTTAATATTCATATTAAACAAAAGGGTCCATAGGTTTTTTTACAATTCTATTTCAGTGGTTTTTAGTATTTTCTTGCAGTTACTGAACAACAGAAAATACAAAGTATATGCTTAACATCAATCCAAAGCCTGGCTACATTGGCTACCATTTGGTAGCAGGTTCTCTAAACGTGAGTTCTGCCCCCACTTCAGTGACAGCCATGTTCCTGCTGGCAAGGAGATGGAAATGCATGCCAATTAAAGGAGGCTTATTTTCAAGTGACTGGATTGACCAAATCTAAGCAAAATTGTCCCTAAGAACAAACAGCTCAAAATGGTAATATTCTCTTTAAGAATACAGAAGTAGAACCCATTCTCATGACAATCCCATGCAGCTCCTCCTTAAACACAGGCACTGACCTACTATGCAAGGCTGTGAAGAAAAGAACTTCGCTCGTGCTCCAGCGCAGAACCACAGAGTATGTGAGCACCTGCGCAGGCAGGCCCGCCTGCCTCAGGCATTCCTCACCCCCTGCCCTAACAAACCCATCCACCTCAAGTCTAAAATGGAGAACAGATTTTTCTTATTAAAACAACTCTTTGGTCGTGGACAAACTAAGAGATTTGAAATTTTTTTTCTTTAGGATCCTGGAACAAGTTGTTTTTAATCTTAAAAAAAAAATTTAAGAACAAAAAAACCCAGCTGGTTTAATTGAAGTGGAATTTAAATCGAAAAGGTCCGCCTGAGCTGAAGGGATTGAACCCTTGCCATGAGTTCCAGCTTCTGTGGAAGGGGTTGCCACCACCTCCTTGTTGGCTCTCTGCATCCAGGGGGTCTTCTCCATCATCAAACTTCTTCCTCATTTCTAGAAAAGAAACCAACAGAGTAAGACCCAGATACTGACTAAGGTGTGGGGGAGGAAGGGGAGGACCGGGGGACTACTTTCAGTTATCAAAGCAGTTGTGCCTAACACTCAAATCTAGGTGCTCCTGTTCCCACCTAGATCAGAGGTTTGGTCTCTAGAGAAATACCAGTCACAGAGAAGGGGGTGAGGGCCAGGGTTGAAAATGGTATATGCTTCTCTGGAAATGGAAAAAATGAATAACCGCAGAAAAAGAGGCCTCCAAAAGTGTCTCTATTCTGACCAAACAGCCATGGCACCATGCAAAGCCCAACAATGAAGTCAGCCAGGCACAACCCATTGAGCTTTCTAGTGCCTCACTATTAAATCTGAGTAGAACTAAGGTTCTTCAGACCTGAGAGGAGCAAGGCCACCTCCACTGCTGTGCCTGTCAGTCCTGAGGAAAATCCCTGATGAGCCAGAGACCAATGCAGGCAAATGGGAGAAAGAAACACTACAGGTGGCAGAAGAGCAAGCTATTATCCTCAGAGATTAGAAATAAGACCGGACTAAGAAAAGGGACCCGAGAACAAAAGAGAACTCTTAGTAATTAAAATGCAGTTCTTTCCTTGATGCCTGCCTTGGTGACTGTTGGCCCCACCTCCCTTGAAGCTCAGCTGCAGAGTCCCCCACCTGTGCAAGCCAAGAGGCCAGAACCACTAAGGGATGTGGTAGACCCTCATCTGCTGAACAAAAGAACAAACAGTATGTATCCTACTGTACTCATTAAGTACACTTCTGTCTCCCGTACTGGATTATAAATTAAGAACAAAAAATCATTTCACTTCAGTTGCATAGCATTTAAGTGAAGTGTTTAAGAAAGATTTGTCAAATGGGCATAAAACTTGATTTCCTTCTGTTTTTTTAATTTGTCTAGTTCAAGTCATAGCTTCTGCTCCCACCGACATGAAAAGGTACAAAAATCAGTAGATAGCTTAACATCAAATTCCCCCAGGGAATGCCAAAGTATTGTTCAATATTACCTAATTCGTAGCAGTTTCAAGAACATCATTTATAGCCACCAGTAAATCTAATGAATATCTGATTTAGGGCAAAATTCCTGGGGAGCACACACGGGCAGGCAGCTCCACTCCTCTCCCCACACTGCACATTCCAGTCTGGTTCCTAATCAAGCTTCTGTCAGTTTGGCATAAAGAATTCATCACTGGGCTGTGACATTGGAAGGAACTTAAGACATCCCCCTCACTGTTGTGCTTTCATATCACAGGTGAAAACAACAGAAATGTCAGACTCAGGCCTTTCCATTCCATATTTGTTGGTCTTCGCACTGCAAATATGTGGGTCCTTGAGTCGGCCAAGAAAGCATAAAACTGGACTTCTGAAACTGCAAGGCCACTCTAGTCACCAGCCCTTGAAGTGAGGCCCAGAGCTGCCTCTAAGACAGGAAGAGGGAGGCTAAGTCGCCAGTGACTGACTCAGCCATTTCAAGAGAACAGAAAATGTTAAAGGCTAGTGATACCTGGATCAGAGAGGACCTCTTTAGCAGCTGCAATGTCGATGAATTTTTTCTCAGCTTTTTTCTTTTCTTCTTCATTCTGGAAGTTATCTGGGTGCCACTGCATTGCTAATTTTCGGTATGCTTTAATGATTTCTTGCTTTTTGGCATTTCTGAGGAGTATTAAATTCGATTAATAATCATTAGTTTAAAAGTACCCCAGAAGGGGACATCTGTAATACTTTCAACAATAAGTACAAGTTGATTCTTAAAATGCCACTTTATTTATAGACCTGAAGAAGTTTTCTTTTCCCCATCCCCTCTCTCCCTCCTACCCCCACCAAAAGAAAGCTCATTCCTATCTCTTTACCCCTAGGAAATGTAGGCCTAGGACATATTCATGCAGTAGTGTCATATCTTTGTCACCAACAACTAATTCTCCATTACTAGTCTCTATTAATGAAATAGCTTTATGATGTTAGACTGTTAAGGTTAAACCTATGACTAAAACTACATAAGGAAAGGAAATGAATCCAAGAGAGAAAAAAAGAGCAATGATTAGCTTTAAAACAGTTGATTAAAAATAATACAAATTTTAAATTAATAATTCACCTTTTTACTCCCAAGATTTTATAATAATCTCTTTTCTGTGACTGTTTCAATAGTCTTTGTGCTTTCTCTAGACCTTCCCGAATCTGCTGGTCATTTTCATTGTGTTCCTGAGCAGTTTCATAATCCTGAATAGCTGTCAAAATATGTTTAAGATAATGATGTTAAGAGGAATTATAACCTTTCCTTATCCTGCAAAATTGACACTGAAGTCACCATTCCCAACCCCTTTACTCTTTTGTCATTACTGCTAAGAGCCTAAGAAGGGATACCACCTTAGTAATTTCGTTGGAAAACTTACAAAAGGCTGAATTTCATAGCTTATTACTCCCAGTCAATAAAATTCACTGCTGTTTACTTTCCCTCCCACATTATCTTCCCCATACCTTTTAGCCTTGTAGGTGGTTTAACATAAGCAATCTTAACATGAGTAAGATTAAAGTGATTGTTACATAGGAAAATAAGACAGTGGCAAAGAAAATCTGCGTGGTTAGCTACAGAGGTCCTTGGTATAGAACAATTAGAGGCTTAGAAAGGGAGCAAGAGGAACCGTCAGAATTCAGAATCACCCACAGATTTCAGAGCAAACTATTACAAACCTGATTTTTTTAAAAAGTATCAAAACAGAAAACCACATATAGACCTGGTATGGAAATCTGATAACAATCCACATTGTATCTTTTTAGATTATTTAAAATATTTTAAGTCCAGCCAGCATGGCTTAGCAGTTGAGCATCAACCTAGGATCCAGGAGATCACGATTCGATTCCCAGTCAGGGCACATGCCCGGGTTGCGGGCTCCGGGTTGCGGGCTCGATCCCCAGCAGGGGCGATGCAGGAGGTAGCCAATCAATGACTCATCATTGATGTTTCTTTCTCTCCTTTCCTCTCTCTCAAATCAATAAAAATATATTTTTAAATGCAAGGCATTTATCTGGATACCTAATGTCATGCAGAAAAGTTATCCTTAGAAAGGTGTATGCTGACAAGGTTGGCATCTGGAAAGTTGGATTTCAGGAGTGTTCCCAACATTCTCTGATGAGATGCCTACTGTGCTGAAACTTTGTATAAATAATTGTGGTTGATATCAAATCTTATTTCCTTCTGAAATTTTGGTATGAACTAGGCAGAAGGTGCCTACCTCAGCAGCCCCCAGTAAAAACCCTGGGCACTGTCTCTGACAAGCTTCACGCTTGTTGAGGAACTGGCTTGTGCTCTACGATTTCACAGAGACACACTTGGAATCTTTCACATGGTTGCCTCTGAATTTTGCCCATGACCCTTTTCCAGATGCTGATCTTACTTAGTACCCTTTCACTGGAATAGATCTTCGTCCTCAGTACAACTATATGCTGTCCTCCTAAATCTCCAAATCAGGGTGTGGCCTTGGGAGGCTCCAAAACAAATTTTCCTCAGTGTTTTCCCTATACAGGCATCTCAAATAATGGTTTCAAATTCTAGCTTTTATGGAAATGCAATTTGTTGTGGGAAAAGACATCCCTGGATAATATGCCTGAGCATTCACCTTGGCAACAGCTGACCCTGGAAGGAGTTTAACCTTAGGCAAGGTTAGAATGAGAATGACTCAAATGTTTAAGCTTGAATTACGTAGAAAAATGAACCAACACTGCCTCTGGCCCCTGAACACAGGGGAGCTGCTTTTTAAGCTTTTACCCTAATTCCTGCCTCAATGCATCAATATTAAATATTAGTATCACTGAATCTAGGTGATATCCTAAAATATCTTTCCAATTTAGTACACAAATCCGTAACAAATAGTAGCGAGGTTTAACTTTGCAATACCCAAGCTCTTGATATCAGAACCTAGTAAGGAAATGTAATTTGAAGGAATTTAATACAAAGGGAAATGTTTCAATATATGCAATTTTGCTACTTATGCAAACTACATTTAAAACACGTTTGCACTCTTAAATGTTCACAGTATCTCCCCCAAAGTAGGCTTCTATATCCTATCTTTTATTAAAACTTAAGGTAGATACATTTTCCCCAATATAGGAAAAAATATAAAATTACAGGTAGGTAATTAAGTTGAAACTTAATATGGATGATGTAAAACTTTCCAAGGGCATAAACTAGATAGATCATTTTAAATTATATTTCAGATTCTACTCTCCAAGAGAACCCTAAAAAAAAAAACCAAAACGTAAAAACTAAATGCCATCCAGTTTTTATCACATACCATACTGAGCAGCTGTGAAAAGAATAAGCCAGAAATATTAAGGCCCCAAATGAACAGTATGTTACATATTAGCAAATTCACTTTCTAACCTCTGAATCTAAAAAATCTTATCCTTCCCAAATTTCTTTCCTTCCATATTCCCCTCACTCAATTCAAACAACCAGATTGAGATGGCAAACAGTAAGCACAGGAGTTTGCCTGTCCTCCATCCCACTATCCCACCAAAATGACCAAAAAAAATAGTAAAACCATGGCAGCACTGAAACAGACCGGAAATTGAGACGTTTTTGGAAAAGAGAAAGCAAATGAGATATTAATAATGATTTAACCTAAGTAGAAAGAACCACAATCCAAATACATTGAAAGAGACCCTAGCTAATTTGGAGTCCATTCTATTTGGCCAAGGATCCTCAGTTTAGCAAGCAAGAGTAGCTTTAAGGCACTCATTAGGATAGTTCATTAGATGACTAGAGAATGGCGGGGCAGGCTCTTCCCCTTTTATGTGGAGCAGCTACAGCATTAACCCTATCAGGGCTCAAGAACCAGCCTCTAAGCAGAATGGAGGGTGTGCATCTGGAGGGCCCCTGATGTGGCTGCTGGGACCAGGAAGAGATGCAGAACTGAGCCCGCAGGCCCTTGAGACCTCCAGGACAGACCCAGACCAAACAAAGGAAAAGCAGTTCCGTCCAGAATTTAAATACACCAGAGGACTCCACCTGATAAAGTAAAATGAGTACAAAATGGGTGGAGTCCTGTTCATTCTGGCAACTGGGCAAGATGGAGAGCACCGCAGGGGAAGCCTTCCTGTGAACAGGTGCTGCCCACGCAGAAGTGTGCAGTGACTCCCCAGTACAGAAAAGCATTTGGAAGACAAATATGCGCAGCTGCACATGACTCTCTCATTTCACCAACCCATTAGCAAATCCCCAAATCAGCTTCCCCACCAACAGAATTTAACTACTTCTCACCATTTCCACAGTTACCACCGTGATGAAGTCAATAGCTTCATAACAGCTCTCCTCAGCTTCCACCCGTATTTCCCTAAAAGTCTGTTCTCAACACAGGGCCTTTAGAGAGCCTTTTGAAGATTACATTACACCTCCAATATAAATATGCCTCATGGAACACCAACTTTCTCACCCTGGATATCATACAAAACAAACAAGGTAAGGGGTGTGGGGGAGAGCTGCATTTTCAGCAAAACAATTCAAACTGTACAAGGGCTGCTAATATTAGCTATTATCAGCCATAAATCTAAAATGAGGGGGAAGGAAATAGTGAGAAAGGCCAATAACAAGAGATCACAGAAAATGACAGCAAAGTACACTTTCTATGAATATGGGCTCACCCTGAAGTGACAGCCTGTATTCTTTGCATATTACAAGAACCATGAAATCTAGCGCAGACTGAGTGAAGATAAAGCAGAGGCCTTACTAGGGAGAAGACAGGGAAAGAAGGGACTACAATAAGGATAGCAGATAGGCCTGGGCAGCACATCTCAGGAAACTCGGCAACTGTGTGCTCTCAAGGTGAGGGGCTCACCCTGAAGTGCAAAAGATATACCCCTTTGGTGTAGCAAAGGAAGTGGGCAGAGGGGCAGCAGGACTGGCAGCAGACGACCTCCTGGACTTGGCTCAGAGAAGCAGAGAGGGCGGGGCTATACAGAAGCATTTTAGCAGGAAGCAGAATGTCTGTGGAAACAGTGAAGCAGAGAGTATTGCAATTGTTAAGTACAGAAGGCTTCTCCCTGTCCCCAGCACCCCCTTACACACATACCCCCAAAGGACTTTCCCACAGATAGCTAGGAAAGGGCAATTTAACTCATTTTGTGATGAGTAATATTTTTTAATGGTACAGCATCAATCCAGAGCTATTTAATTTTTAAAACAAGAGTACCAAAACTTACCTTATGGACATGCATCAAAATAGCCAATGAATACATGAAAAATCTGAGCAAATATTATGGCATGAATATTTAAAATGTAATTCAGTTGCCCCTATTAAGGGTAATCACTAAGCAGAATAAGAATTCAGCAAAGAGATAGTGAGAAAAGGAAAAGATAAAAATGTGAGTAGTCAAAACTCAACAAAAATAAGTACAATAAAAACTCTCATAGAAGTGGAGATGAAATGAGAAGGAGCTCAAAGGAGAAGCATATGAGGAAAAAACAAGGACCCAACAAAATGAAATGGAAATAGTGAGTTTATAAAGACTAGAGGAAAATATTGTAGCTACAGATGACAAGCAAGGGAATACAACCTATACATAATTGGATCTTAAAGCAAAAACCAATAGAATAGAACAAAACAATTCAGATCAAATTTAAGAAAACTTTTCTAAAAAGATAAATCTACATTCAAAAGGGCACACTAGGTACCAGGCCAAACAGGATGAGAATGGTCAATATTAAGGGCTCACTGGGTGGCCAGACCAAAACCAAAATCCTGGCCCCAGATTTTCCATAGCAATATTCAGTGTTCAAAAAGAATGTAATAGTAACTAAAATATACAGCAAGTTTGTGAACCAAGGATTTTATTATCTAGCCAAGCCATCCTTCAAGTACAAAAGGTATAAACTGCTTTGAACATAGAAGAAATCAGGAAATAAATTTCCCAGAAGCCCCTCGAGGAAACTACTATGGGATGAACTCACCAAGAGAAGTCTAGAGAAACCTTTAGAGCCAAAGGAGGGATGGAACACACTGAATATATTTAATATAAAACTGAAACTAAAACAAAACAGAAGTACAGTGCTAGAGAATGCATGCCCCAACAAGGCAGGAGGGATAAAGCTAAAAAAAAAAAGGAAGAAGAGAGCGTTAGTTCATTAATTCCCCCAATTACAGCTGAAGCAATCAGAAAACATCACCCATTGATAAGTCAAAGGAAAATACTAGAAAGCTATTAATAAGTGGTCAAGGAAAAGGAAAGAGGA